GTCTGAACCTCCAAAGTGCTTTTAGTGGTCAGTCTGCCCCCAGCACACTCTGGACAGAAGTCTCTCTCTCTCCCTGCTCCCTTCCCCCTCCTCTTTCTCTCCCTCACATAATATTTTCCATATGAAGAAGCCTTCCTGAAGCCGCACACTGCCCTCTTGGTGAGTCTTAGGCGGGTTAGAGGAGACCCCGGGAGCCTTTAATCCTCTCTCTCTCGCTTGCTTTCATCCTCAGCCACAGCTGGACGCCCCATTGATGTGGAACAGACCAAACACCAGGCCCCTCACTAAGCTGCTGCTGTGGGGCCTCTTCTCCTTCAGAGCCGAGCCGAGCCCACGGCCCGTGTCCGGCTGACAGAGCGAGGGTCCCGCGTGCCCACCAGCCCCGGCCCCCACACACACGGCCAGATGGGGGTCCCAACTCTGCCTTCCTCCCCCAGCCCTGCTTCCCTCTCACTGCTTCTACTGTTTCCCTGAGCCATGTTACACCACTTTATTCTCAAAGAATTCCTCCTTCTCCCTTATCCCAACATTCTCCTTTTTCAGGACCATTTAGGATCATTTCCCACAGCCCCATATCCCTGCAGAGCATCAGGCCTGGGTGAGGGTGAAGGGTTGATCCGTGTTGATGTGCTGAGGAAGCAACTGATGGAGATGTCCCAGGAAAGACCTGGAAGGCTCCATCTTCTGAGCAATCACGTTTTAAGATTCCAGCAGGCTCAGAGTTTTGGGAAGAAAAGTCTCTTAAGGCCCACTGCAGGGTTAGACAAGAATATAATTGAATCATTGTATGGTTTGGGTTGAAAGAGATGTTAATGATCACCCAGTGCCACCCCTGCCACGGGCAGGGACATCTTCCCCTATCCCAGGTTCCTCCAAGCCCCATCCAGCCTGGCCTTGGACACTTCCAGGGATGGGGCAGTCACAGCATCTCTGGGCAGCCTGTTCTGGTGTCTCACGGAATATCCCCCTTCTCTACAAACTTTGCAGCAGGGATAAGAGGGCTCAGGTGGGCGCTTGTCCCCGGAGCCAGGGGAGGCGGAGGAGGGACGGGCGAGCCGTGTTTGGGCACGGTTCTGCAGGGAGCAGGTGCCCCCGGGCTGGGGACGGCGCGGGGGGTTCGTTTCCACGCGAAACACGGCGAAGGCTCGTGAAGCCTCACCCAGAACAGCCCGCCCCATCCCTGGGATGGACGGGGCTGGGAGCCACGCGGGCCAGCGGAAGGTGCCCGTGCCCGGGGCAGGGGCACAGCCAGGTCCGGCCCCTCAGCCCCTCCGGCCGCCATTCCTGGGCCTCCCCCGCCCCCTGGCGGTGCCTCCCCGAGCCCGCGATCCCCGCTCGGACCCCGCAGCTCCGCGGGCTGACGGCGGTGCCGGGGAACCAGCGGCACGGCAGCACCGCCCCGCCCCGCACGGCAGCACCGCCCCGCACGGCAGCACCGCCCCGCCCCGCAGCACCGCCCCGCAGCACCGCCCCGCAGCACAGCCCCGCAGCACCGCCCCGCAGCACCGCCTCGCACGGCAGCACCGCCCCGCCCCGCAGCACCGCCCGACACGGCAGCACCGCCCCGCCCCGCAGCACCGCCCCGCACCGCACGGCAGCACCGCCCGACACGGCAGCGCTGCAGCCTCACACCCCAGAGCAACGGCGGGGGCTCTGGGGAGTCCGGGGAGATACACGGAGGAGTTCAGAGAAGGAGGAGGGGAAATGATCCGAGCTGTCAGGAACACACACGAGGAGGGAAAATTGAAATACTTGGAGTGGTTGGGCTGGAGTGGAAGGACCAAGGGGAAGCAGGGATGTCCCTGCGTACGCAGCAGGAGAAAGGGAAAGATCTGTTCTCTGAGTTCATGGTGGATACAAAGGGAACAAGGCATTAAAGAGCAGGGAGAGTCCGAGTTAGGGGCAGTGTTCAAATAGGGCTGATGCAGCACTGGAATAGGTCACTGGGAACGCTGCAACCTCGACTGGTTAAACAGAGTTTTAGAAATTACCTGAAAAGAGCTGATCCAGCTGTGTCACCAGGCTGGATTAAGTGACCTTCTGAGATAACATTCATCTTCTTTTTTGTGATTCTATAATTAAAAGTCATATTGATCCTCTGTCAGAGATGCAGCAAAAGGACCAACTTCATTACATTCTTGCTGCTCCAAGATGCTGAGTCCTGAACAGACATCTCTTTGTGACCTGTCCTATCCCAAAGAGCCTCTCCTCAGAAGGGACCTCCCATGGCTGCAGCAAATGCCATGGGAAGGGATGAGGCACAGTTCTTGGCTCAGTTTGTAGGCAACCGGTTGCAGAAACTGAATTAATTGCAGACTCCTGGGATTTGTTCGCAAGAGCACGAGCGCGTTCCCCCTTCTCGTTACTGAGCATCAAGTGCCTGATGAGAGAGGGATTTGGGGACAAGACAATGCGGAGATATCTAGCACAAAATGATTAGCCAGAATGTATTGTTAATAAGCTGCTTATTCATATAATTGGAAATTCTTTGCAGCCAGGGTGTCAGTACAGTCTCTGTGCTGCTCTGATGGAGCGGGGCAGGTACTGGCCCAGGGGACCCTGCTGTGAGCACTGTGCTGGCAGAGGACTCACTGCCACTGACTGCTCTGCTGTCATTGCCTTCAAGGGCAGAGAAGGACACAGGGATGTCAAGGGGAGGCAGAAGGGACTTGGCCAAGCCCCACTGACGACAGGCACAATTTCCAGCATGGTGTCTGGGAGCAGAGTGGAAGGACAGGCCTCCTCCAGCATCCTCCCAACAGCTAGAGAGACAAAGGCCAAGGAAGCCTGGAGTCGAGGCAAACAAGACCTGAGGCTGTTTGTGCTTCCCAAAGCAGCTATTTGGGGCAGAGCCAGCTGTGAAACATCCCTGAGTGAGTCCCCCCCGAGCTGTGACAGCTGTCACCAAAGGGGACTTTGGTGGTGGTTCTGACGCACACTCGATGAGTGACCTGGAGGATTCCACATTGCTCACTTGGAGAACTGGCCTTGCCTGGATTTCCATGGAGCAGAGTTCCTTGGGGAGGCCAAGGGAAAGGAGGAGAAAAGCTACAGAAGAAGCTGTTCCCCATTTCCTGGTTGAGCCCAAGCCTGCAAAGCACCCGGATGCAGAATCAACCACATAATGTTCCAAAAGCTGGAACATTATTCCCTGTTTCTGAGACTCCAAGACAGGCATGGAGCCAAGATTGCTTCTGCTTCCACTCTTCTGTTGTTCAGGTTAGAGAAGGCGTGAGAAGCTGGGATGATCCCCATGCCAGCAGTGTCCTATTGCCTCAGCAGCCCCAGGAACGAGGGGCATGGATTCACTATCACACACGACTGACACCATCCTCTGTTTCCTTACCCAACCTTTTATATCCTCAGCCTTTTGAAGCCTCCACAGAGCCAGCTCAGGCCTGTTAACTATTCCACAGAGGGAATATAATTCCATATATATTTGTGCTCTCTGTATCTCCACACACAAAGCTTGAATAGGTATGAAAAGCTCTGTCCCTGAGCACAGCACTAAGCTGTAACCGAAGCTGGAGAATCTCCTCATCTTTTGACGACCAATTTCCTGCCTGATCCCTCCCTTTCTCTCAGATCCACACACAGAACTCAGCAGCCATCCCGAGGACTGGGCTGAACTGCAGCGGAGCTGGCCCTGAGCCACACAGCACAATTCCTTCCTTTTTTAAGGGTCTGTTCCTGACTCACGCAGCAGGACAGGCTGAAACCAAGGAATCCCCCAACACTGCAACACAAAGAACAGTTGCTACACCAGACCTTCACAGCCAGGCAGCAACCTTTGGTTGAGGAGAATCACATTTTAGTGCATATTTGGGAATTTAAACCCCAAAATATATTTGCTTGCCATGAAAGATCAGATCATTCTTTAATTGGTGTTATCCTTGACAATATAGTAAAAACTGAATTTGGAATAAGGAAAAGATCCCGGTTTTCCATTAGCAATACAGAGGGATGCTGAGATAAACCATTTTGCTTTCAGTGGAAAGAGACAAATACTGGAAATTTTGGCAATATGGCTGGTGATGTGTCCTTCCTATGGCACATCACAGTGACATTGCACTAAGATCCCTGAATCCATTTATTTACAATTCATTAGCTCATACTATTCCACTTCAGTCATTCATTTGTCTAATTAATTCATTAAGATCTTACAAAAGTCCAAGTTTGCCCAGGAAACCCACGTACAATATCCACTGGAGTAAAAAGGGCCAGATTCAACAGATGATGAGTGAGCTTTTGCTGTGGGAATTGAACAGACCAAGTCCAGCTAGAACCTCATAATTCCCTTCCCACGTGCACCTCAAGGAAATCCCATAAATTTAGTATGAGTAGCATTCACTAGTTCCTGAACTTGATCTCTAAGATGGATCTTTCAGCACCTCAGAGGATGCACTAAAGGAAGAAGTCCCTGTCCTGCTTTCCCCAGGGACAGATCCCAGCCAGAAGGGCCCAGCACACACTTACAGAGGCAGCGATGTCTCTGGGGACACGCTGGTCGTGTCTCAGAGGGAGGGACTTCTCTGGGGATGAGCTCCAGGGACACAGCTGGGCCAGGGCTGGCAGCCTCAGCTGGGAGCGGTCTTATAGAGAAACAGCCACCTGCAACCAGAGTGCAAGAGAACAAACCCCACACCCCAAAACCAACCCAAAACTGGTGAGCACCTGCACACACCAGCACACAGAACCAACCAGGGGCACTGGGGCCCAAAATCTGCTGGTGGATGGCAAACTCAGCCCTGTCCCCCACTTGCCTGGGAGGAAGAGGAGGCAGCCTCATGGCTGGGGGCTGCACGAGCAGAGTGACAAAGCAAATTACACCAGCCAGGGGAGAGAAGCAACAGGCCTTTGACATCAGGACAGGCTGTGCTCAGACACTTCCCCAAATGCACGCAGAAATTATCTGAATATCAATGTTGTAACAAAATGTGGTGAGGTATTTCCTCTTGAGGCAAGACCTCAGGCACTTCCTCCAGCCGTGCCACCGAGAGGCAGGAGGGACCACAGGCAGGCACACAGAAACAGGACCAGCCCCCAGCAATGCCCCTTCCCTGAGGGCCATGGAGCTGAGAGCCCTCCTGCTGCTGCTGCTCTGCTTCCCAGGTAAGAGCAGGGCTGGGCACGTCCCAGGGGAGTGGGACATCCTTCCCCACCTCCCAGTGCCTGGGGAGCTCCACACGGGGACCCCCAACCTCCACTGGACTCTGACAGGGGCAACTCACTGCAGGGGTGGGGAGGGAAGGGGCAGCCCCAGTTCCCACCACACACATCTGGCTTCTCCAGCCTCTCAGGACAAACCACCCTGCAAGCACGGAGCTGTGGCCTCCAAAGCAGCCCCAGCACCTCACTGAGCCTAGCTCAGTGCCTCTGACTGCAGCCCTGGATCAGGAGTGTCCGTGGGCACTGCCTGCCCCCCCTGTCCCTGCAGAGAGCACAGAGCTTCCAGCATGCGGTGGGTTGGGGAATCAACCTGCACCTTGCACAACCTCACACCAGGAGCTGCTGGGCATCCTCAGGGATGTGGCACAGAGGAGCTGCAGGCTGCACACACCTGCCCTGGCTCCTTCCCTCTGCCCCATCCCACCATCCCAAACAGACCACCAGCCCCCAGGGCACTGGGTGGGCAGGGCTTGGTCTCCATTTGCCCGAATGAGGAGCGGTGACGATGGGGCTGGTTTGCTGGGGCAGCTCCCCACACTGTGCCATGGATGTCTCCGGTCAGGCTTGGAAGTCCAACACCTCGAGCACCTGCTTGTCTGTGGGCTGTAAACCACAGCTGCAATCCCAGCTCAAACCTCAGCACTGCTCACCAGAAATCAGCCCTCCTGTTTTCAAGCAGGTGAATTCAGCATGGGGAATGGACTCGGACTTTTGGAGTCTTTCCAGATACAAGCGTCCACAGGGGAAGGTCAGAGCCAGTTTCCCTGTGTCCATGGGAAGGCTGTGGGCAGCCCTGCAGCAGCTCCCCTCTCCCTCACCACATCTGATATTTACAGGTCTCCAAGCCCAAGCACCTCATGCCAAGGAGAGACAACAGGAAGGGAGCACTCTGCATATCCAGTGTCCTTACACAGACAAGACTCACAAACAGCACTGGAAAGTCTGGTGCCGCCTGCAAGATGAACAATGCTATGACCCTGTCGTGATAACAAACTCCCAGAGGATGAGCCAAACCAGGGACAGAGTTACAATAAAAGATGACCCCGCTGCTAAGACCGTGTCTGTCACCATGACTGGCCTCAAGGCAGAGGACTCGGGTACATACTTCTGTGCAGTTTCCCGTGGCAGTGGCAATTATTCTCCACTGAAGACAATCTCACTGAATGTTTTCAAGGGTGAGTACCTGTATCCCCACACAAAGCCAAGTCTTGTCAGAAAGCCACATCATTCCTTCCCCTGCTCCCCTCTCCCCCAGAGCAGAACAGCTTCTCCTGATCCCCCCAGCCCCACTCCCCAGGCTTGTTTGCTGCCTTCTCTGGTGAGTGAAGGAGCCCCACAGACCTGGCTGGCCCTGCAGGTTCCCAGCACCCTCTTGTCCTGCCTTACCTCACCCCTACCCCTGCCTCGATGAGGGGCTCTCCAGGAGGGAGTTGCCCCAGGGCAGGGTCTGTCCCAGATGCCCATCTCAGGGATGCCCTTGCGCCCACTGCTCATTGGGAAGTGACCGCCTTTCTGTTTCAGAGGTGCTCCTGTGGGAGTTGGACACTCTGTGGCTGCAGTGCCCCTACAACAACTGGGGGTACAGCACAACCTGGTGCCGAAGGGAAGGGCAGGCTGAGTGTGGAGTCATGGCCAGCACAGATTACCATTCAACACTGAGCAACAGCAGAGCTCCACATGACAGAACATCGATCATGTACAACAACTACCTGGGTACTGTCACCGTCACCGTGAAGAAGCTGCAGGCCCAGGACAGCGGCACGTACTGGTGTGCACTCAGTGGCCACACCCGAGTAATGGAGGTCATGCTCTCTGTCTTCAAGAGTGAGTACCCACTGCCCTCTCAGTGTCCCAGAGTGAGCACCTACTGCCCTCCCAGTGTCCCAAAATGAGTACCTACTGCCCTCCCAGTGTCCCAAAATGAGTACCTACTGCACTCCCAGTGTCCCAGAGTGTCTCAGTTTATGAATCAGTTTTGCCCCCAGTATTCTGGGCCCAGTCCCCTTCTGCTCCACATGTCTGGAGGCAGATCCAGGGAGCAGTCAGCTCACAGAGTGTTCCAGTGCTGCAGAGGAGGTACCACTGTGCCTGCTTTGGGATCTCACCAAACATTCTGGGTGTTTTCCAGGGACCCAGCAGTACACAGCCAAGGAGTCAGGCAATGTCTCTGTCCAGTGTCTGTACAAGAATACGGACTACGGGGCTGTGAGCAAAGCCTGGTGCAAAGAGGGAGCGAGGACACCATGTGAGGTACTGGTCACCACGAGCTCAGGGGCCTCAGGGAACCAAAGGACATCTCAGGATGGCAGAGTCAGGATCCAGGACGACGCCCAGCGGGGGATTGTCACCATCACCATGGAGCAGCTGCAGACACAGGACTCTGGCGTGTACTGGTGTGCACTCCATGAAACCTCTGGTCCCTTCTGGATGGAGGAGGTCACACTCAAGGTTTCCAAGGGTACGTATGGACCTGTCATTTGTAGATCCCAGACTCTCTTTCCTGCTCTTTCCCTCTGCACTGCCCAGCTTACTCCGCCTCACACCTTACACCTGGCTGTGTTTGCCTGACCCCACAGCACTGGACCTTCTCATGGCCACCACGCTATGGAATAGCAGCAGGGATGGGAGATGAACCCCACATGTGCTGTGCTGCTCCTCTTTACCCTGGGAGCAGGTTCAGCTGTCCTGAGAGGTGTTTCTGTCACTCATCCTCTGCTACCAGTTCTGCCCCCTTATAGTGACTCATCCCTTGGCTTTCAAAGGCTATTAAGACCTACCCATTGGGTTGTCAAGGGAACAGCCTTTAGACCCATATTTTAAAGATCTGTGACCTGGGCTCTGTTTCAGCGTGATGTTTTAACAGTAAGGGATGGCACTGAGCTGCAAGCTGGCTCTTGAGGGACTAGAGGAACAGGCAGTGCAGACCACGAGAGGGGATGGTGATGCTCTGGAAGAAATCCCAACACGCGGGACTGAGTGTGAGCAGGGTCCTGCACACCTGCCCTGGGCACAGGAGCAGCCATGGCAGGGGGCTTTCACTGGTGAATGCAAAGCATTTGTGACTCTAACCCTAACCCTAACCCTCTCTTCATGCCTGCCATTGCAGCACTGGCTCCAACAGCTTTGTCAGACACTGAAGGCGCAAGTCAAGCAACTCCTTTGGGTGACAGCCCAGCACCCAGGTAAGAGTCTGAGCTCCAACACACACAGGTTATTCCTGCTTTGTCCACTAAACACCTGGGGCAGGCAGCCCCTGGGTACTCCTGCCTACAGAGGGATTAAGTATGGTAGGGTCCTTACCAAAGCTGGCCTCTCCTCTTCCAGCTCCTGCCCAGAGCATAATTCCAAAGGAAGAGGCAGATTAGTAAAATCAGCTCCAGTGCACCAGGTGCTGCAGAACACAGGAGGAAAAGGCAGTTCCTGCTCCAGAGAGCCTGGAATTGTGCTCAGAACTTTAAAGAGTGGCTTGTTTCTAAAGCCTGGAGAAGAGTTTAGAAATAGCTCAGAAGGCACAACCAGGTAGAAAAATGCAGATTGCATTGCTGCAGAACCAGACCCTCCTTCTGAGTGCATAGAACAGAGAACATGAAATCCGTTCCTGTCCCTTTTGGTCATTGTTTGGCACTGGGCTGTTACTCCATCCAGCACTGGTAACTCCCTTGCTCTCCTGGCTGCAGCTCAAATGGCAGCGCCTTCATCCCACTGTCTGTGGTCCTGAGCATCCTGCTCATCCTGGCTCTCATCACCTCGGTAACGCTGTGTGTCAGGCTGCACAAGCTCCTGGAGAGAACAGGTATGTGGAGCTGGGGGATGCCTCGTGTTCTGCTCTGTACCAAGCAGGGCCTTCTCTGCCATCGCTTTCCCACTCCAGGTGAGCTCATTCCCAGCTCACAGTGCCCTGGAGATCAGGCAGGTGCAGGCTGGGAAGCCTCAAGGTAGGCTCCTTGCTGCCATCTCTACTCACAATAAGTCAAACCCAGGTTCCTCCAGACCCTGCACAGGAACCTGTAAATACCTTGGAGAACTAAAGTGAGACCAAAGTGTTCCCCAGGCTCAGGGCAGAGGCGTCCCACTGCACACCCACTGCTCCTATCATGGGGCAATCCCACGGCCTTCCCCAGACACCTCCTGAGGCACTGGCAATGCCAGGGCTTTTCATGGACTTCTCTGCTTCTAAAACCTCCGATTTTGGCTTCTTCCAAAGGGAACCGAGGAGCAGAGGACACCTATGGCAATTCAGAGGGCACAGCACAGGTAAGGAAAATGAATGATTTCCCAGGTGGTACCAAATCCCTGACCAATGTTCTGTGAGGGGCTGTTGGACCCTGCCTGATGAGGACCTTGGAGCTCACTTTGGTTGTGAGCAGGAGGCAAATGGTATTTAATGTCCCCAGAGAGAGGAATGTTCCCAGCTGCAGAGAGAGGGGAGTAATAAATGTAGGGAAATGCCAATAGGAAAAAAACACAGTGGACCAAATTCTAGTAACCTCTGAGAAGTGACTCAAGGACTAGTAACCAAGGTTAGACCACGAAGTTGGCACCTTTATCCAGGAGAGGTGATGAAGAAGAGTCTTCTCTTCTTTCACCTCTGTCATGACCAAAGGTATTTTTTCCATGGCTTCTCCTTTCCTTCTGGGAGAATTTGGTCTCCTGGTGACAACTGTGACCTGGCACTGTGTCACGCTCACGAGTGCTTTCCCTTTCTTTTCATAGCTTGGCAGCACTGAAAGAAGTGAAAGTTCCAAGAATGACAGCAAAGGCCTAAAACACATGAACCTGGACTTGCAATCCCGGCCCAGCCCTGAGGATCCTCTTTACTGCAATATTGAAGCCAGCCAGGCTCCCAGGAACCCCCACGGTGCAAATGTGGAATACGCTGTCATCGCCTTCAACCAGTTCCCAAGGAATGATGCAGGATGAAGCACAGGGTCCCCACACAATCCAGAAATGGAGAAACAAACTGGAATACGGAGTGGGAATGAGGAGTAGGAGGTGTGTGGGTGGAAACTGGGGGAGGAGCTGAGTTTTGCTACCATGTGTGTGTTGCCTGTGCATTTTCAGACCTCCCTCCTGTTAGGGGCCAGTAGAGGCTTTGCCACACTTGTGGCAGATTGTCTCAGGTCAGCCAGAGGTGTGGGGTTATTCCCAGAATACCTTGTACATCTGCTTTTCCAGTTCCATTAAAATCAGACTCTTGGAAGGGCAGGAGTGAGCTTTGGAGAACGAGCAGTATTGGTGTGGACATTGCTGGGTTTGGTATTCCAGCCGTGCTCCGGTACAAACTCTGCCCCATTCCTGAGGATTCAGCTCCTGTGGCCAAGTGACCTCACTGCAGTGCTGCGGGGATCAAACATGAACCTTTTTGTGCCTGGGGTCTGTCCCATGGAATGGGTTGGGAATGGGAGGGCTGGATCATAAGAATAAGCAGAACCAACATCTGCACTTCCCTCTCTCTGCTGGACACTCTCCAAATGACACGTTTGCTGCCTGTATTTAGCAGTCATGTGGGGAGCAACATGAAATGAATTTTCTGGGGCTCAGCTCCATTTCTCCAAAAGACCAGAAGCTCTGGCATCTGATTTGTCTGCCCCAATCCCTGCAGACAGGTCTGAGACCAAAGGGGCCTGAACCATCCCTCATTCCCAGGCCAGTCACATCCAACAGGCTTCTCTTGCTAGGGCTGCAGCAGGGAGGCTGATGGAATTTTTGAGATTTTTCAGAGTTATTGTGACAGAAAGAAAAAGAAAATGGTTCTGGAAATGGTTCATTCAGCCCAAGATCCCCCTAACAATTTGCTCTTCATGCAGTTACACTGGGTCAAGCTGTGGAAGAGTAATAGTAGAAAACAATGGAATGGAAGAGAGGCATTTTCAGGATGATTCTCAAAGAGAATCCAGATTTATGCTCACTGGAGCAAGAAGGAACAAAAATGGCAATCAGTCACCTCACAGAGAATTCTGGTAACTCTAAGGTACCATTTTCTTAAACCACTAACTCAAAGAGGCACATTTAAGACTGGACAGACCTGCAGATTCATCAGCACACCAGTTAAGAAGTCAGGGTCTATTCATACTTGCATGGAAGACCTCCAAGTAAATAAATAAATTAAAAAATGGAAAACAGCACCCAGTTTGCTGGTGCTCTGGGAGGTCCCTGAGGGCAGATGGGGTCTGGGACTACCTGGGCTAGTGGAAGGTGTCCCTGCCCAAGGCAGTGGGTTGGAACTGGAGGAGCTTTGAGGTCCCTCCAGCCCAAACCATCCTGGGATTCCGTGACTCCATGAAGTCCTGCTCCCGTGGGAGCTGAGCCCAGCAGGACCCCCAGCCCGTGGCTTCAGGCCATCACATGCTGCTCCTCTGGGGCTGTCTGGACTGAGCCAGGCAGTCAGGCAATGCTGATGCCTGGATTTTCAGCCCGTGACAGAAATGCCCGTCCCTGGTGAATTGCTCAATGTGCAGGATGAAGAAGATGCCAAGTTCCTGTGCTCGCTCCTTCCGTCAGAGCACGGAGGGGGAGAGGGAGCTGCCCTTGGGCAGAGCCCATGTCCCTCTTCTCCAGGCTCCTCTCCTGTCCCTGCTCTGCTCAGCTCACATGGAGAAGCTCGTGCACCTCCTCTTGGTCTTCCTGTCAGGTAGGAAGCACATGTGGCTTTGGGTTTCAGGGGAAAAGGGTTGGCAGGGTAAAGGACTGGGGCAAAGCTTGGTCTCCACCTGACGGCTCCTTCCTTGGAATTTTCTCCTTTCCCTTTATTTACCAAAGGGCCAGTGGTGATCCCAGTGCTCCCAGCTTTCCTCACAGGGATCCTTCTGAGTCAGAACAGGAAACACTGATGAGAGAAGTCCTGTGTGCCTCTTTTGTGAAATGTGAAATTGCAAAATCCTGTGTGTTTGCATTTGCGGGGCTTTGGGTGTAATTTACATACATGTAAATATATTTACATATGTGTAAATCACCACAAGAGGGTTCAAGAGAAGGGAAAGAAAACCCAGTGAAGGGCACAGCTCTGAACTCTTGGGCACTTGGCTCTCTGCAGCTGGGAGAGGCACATCCCTCTGAAGGGAGAACCAAGGCACGGGAGCCAGATGGGGCTCCCATCTCTCAGCCTTCTCCCTGCAGCCACTTTGGAGATCCCAGCTCCCTGCAGGGAAGAGCAACAAACCCAGGCTGTGGGAGCACAGAAACCTCTCCCAAAAATCTGGATGAGTTTGGAAAATGTTCACTAGACTTTTTCCAGTAGCACCCAGGAAGGGAGGAGGAACACAAATAGTTTATGATCTGTCAGCAGAATTGGTTGAAAAGAGAATGACACAACGTTTTCCATGGGTACATCAGGAAATCTCTAAATGATTCCATTTGAGAGGTGTTTCACAGTGCTGTGGGAATCCTAGGGACCGAAGGGGCAGAGCTGGAGGAAGGAGTGATCCTCAGGAGGAACAGCACAGGCAGGTAAAGTGTTTTGGAAGGATTGCACAGGACACACCATGAGGTAAATCCTGACTGGAACAACTGAGTGGAGCAGTGTACTGGGATAAAGACTTGTAGGTGTTGGATACTGGCAGAGCACAGATCTATTTTATGTCTTGTTCTAGTCAAGCTGAAAGAACATCAGATCTTATAGTTTATAATTCACTTAGAATTGTTGAAATTATTTTAAGCAGTGTTATTAAGAGCCTCAGCCAGCACAAAGTCCTCACAAGAGCCTATTTTTAAATTTACTTCTGTTTTATCATTACTTATGGTTTCACAGAAACATTTGCCTCTGAATTTTTTCACTAGAAATAGAGATTTCCACAAATACCACACTGTACTTCTCTCTGGAAGTATTAATAGCTCAGACTGTCCCCTCTGCCTTTTCCTGCCACAAAGAGGAATGGAAATTAGAAATAAGGAACCAAGACAATAATTAAAAAAAAAAAGCCAAGCAGCCAAAGACCAGTTGACAACATGGTTAAAATTTGTAAGTGGAAAAAAAACTTCTAAACCCCTGGGTTTAGAAGTGGGAGTGGGATTCAGAAGCAGCCTCCCAGCCAGCAAGCAGGACACTGGTTTGTAGGTGTCGGTGTGATTCCAGCATTTTCCAGGGCACTGTGGCTTTGCTCTGGCTGTGTAAAGAGCTTCAAAATGGGGATAAACTTCCTGGGCATTTACTGCAAAGGGCCTTTTCTGCAGCAGAGGGTATTCCACAGCCAACTACTGTAAAAGGGCTACTGAAAACCAAGGCAGCTTGTCTGGTGCCAGCTCAACCTACCTGGATGCCCAGCTCCATGTTCCCCAGCACCAGAGCACGAGGCAAGTTTATAGTTAATGCCCAAATCCTGATGACAAACTGGGCAGGAGCACAGGGATGACAGAGGTGGGATGTGGTTGAGCTCCAGACTGACTCCAGAGCAGCCACCACAGGGCCAGGAGGGAAGGCAAGGACCAGAATCCACCCGGGCTTCAGAAAACCTGCAACTATTAAGTAAGCTGATACCTCCTGCCCTCAGTGCCACCCCAAGAACTGCTGCCTGGCAAGAGCCAAATCATCCATCAGGGTCACCACAGACACTTTTCACAACACCTGAGCCAAGACTCTGAGCACATTGATTGTCGAGGGGGAAGCAGACAGGTGACAGCCCTACAGGTGACAGCCTGACAGGTGACAGCCCCACAGGTGACAGCTGCCATCACTAGAGCTGTAAAGGATGGAAGTGATGTTTAGCATCAGCCCAGTAGTGAGGGATAGACATGAGAGACTGGGCTCACCCCTCCCTCCCTCCCTCCTAGCATCCTGTGCTGCCGAGAACGTCACCGTGGTGTACGGGATGGAGGGGGGCACCATTTCTGTCAACTGCTCCTACAACCCCCAGCAGCAGTGGTGGAGAGAGAAGAGCTGGTGCAGGCAGGTGGATGAGACCAAGTGCCAGCACGTGGTGAGTGCCCCATCCTTCTGGCTGCCGTTCCCGAGGGGCAGGAAGAGCAGCACCTCCATCAGGGACAACGTGCACGCCGGGGTCCTGACGGTCACCATGAGGCGGCTCAGGAAGGAGGATGCTGGGCTGTACCAGTGCAGAACTGATTTCCTGGGGGACACAAGGAGCCTGAGGAAGGTGCAAGTGGAAGTGCTGAAAGGTACGTCCTGGGGTTTGAGTTTCACAAGATCCTACTTGAATTTCAGGGATGTCTGCAGATGCCGAGGCCTCACTTCTGTAAACATCTACTGCTGTCTCTCTCTGAGGAGGTTCTGTGTTTCATTGCCTCTTTTTATTCCTGATGTACAGCACTGTACTTCACTGGTACTGGACATCAGACTGATCTCCTGGCACACAGCCCCATGCCCCACCTCGCCTTGGTTACTTGCCCAGCTGGGGCACTGGTGACAGCAGTGAACATCACCAGAGACATCTGCAGACTAAACTGTTGTGTTTCTACCAGCAGCTGTCCTGGAGACCCAAGTGCCAGAGGAGCCTAGAGCTGTGCAGAGCATCTCCAGGTGAGCCTAAAACTTGTGCTGGGATCTCTTGTCTTCCTAGGACTAAGGCAGTAGTACAGGGGTTTTTTAAAGATTTGAACCATCCCCTCATGGCTGTATTTCTGGTTGCCCACAGCTCCCCTCCTGAAGTGGATTTCACTGTTTTCTACATCCTTGCTGGGCTCCTGGTTACCAAGTTCATGGTGGCTGTTCTGATCTGTGTTGTTGGCATCAGCAGGAAGAACAGAGAAAGGGAGCAGAACCCAAGCCTGAGTGAGCAGCAGGTCCTCCCCTTCACTGCTGACCTTGCACACAATGGAACTGGCCCCTCCCGGGAGAGCACTGCGTGAGCTGAGCCAAAGGGAGTCCGTGGAAAAGGAACATCAGGCATTTGCAGGCAAAGCTTTGCCACCTGCTGTAAGAAAAGGATCACTACTAAACACAGGTGTGGATGAACCTGTCACTATGGAGAGGGAATGTCACCATCTGCCACCTCTTCTCATTGGCATCGCACCCCCAGGCAGAGTTATTCCAGATCCCATCCCCAATATCATTCCACCACAGTCTGAACCGAGACCCATCAACATCCTGTCATCTCAGGGCAGTGCCAGGGGACAGACTCTGTCTTTACAAGGTGAGGAAGCCTAATTCCCCAAAGTTGCTTTGGACAGTGTGGATCCTTGGAGGAAGTCCGTGTGGAAAGGCACAAGGAACTGCGGGACAGCCCGGAAAGGGATGTGGTCTCCTTGCAGCTCCGAGCCTGCTTCCTCATTGCTGAAAGGACTTGGGGAGCAAATGAACTGTCTCACTGTAGTTCTCCCTGTGTTTTTTCTCCCCACTCAAGGGGATGTTACCAACATGTGATGGTTGTTCACCCCTCCCCACAGTGAAGGTGCATTTAGCCCTCCCAGGTAGACCCCAAACCCAGGGGCATTCACACTTCTCTTCCCTGCAATACTAAATAAAATAAAATCGATTCCCTGACTTAGGATGGGTTCATGTAATGGGCTGCAGGACACCAGGTCACAGCCAGCGGGCCAGGCTGGCACATCCAGCCACTCCCCTCAGTGCCACACACGAGCAGAGCTCAAAGCCCAACCTCTCGTTCCCCAGAGGGGCTGTGGCTGCCCCATCCCTGGAAGTGTCCAAGGCCAGGCTGGACGGGGCTTGGAGGAACCTGGGCTGGTGGAAGGTGTCCCTGCCCAGGGCAGGGGAGTGGGTTGAGATGAGCTTCAAGGTCCCTTCAACCCAAACCATTCCATGATTCCATGTAAGTGCAAAGCAGCAGACGGATGAACATTCCCAGCTGAAGGCTGCTCTGGGATGTGTCAGAGCAGCCACAGACCAAAAATGCCCATTTCTTGTCCAGCCCCACTGCCTGGTTGCTAAATATGGCTATCACAAGGTATGGGAAGGGGAAAAGCAGCCAGTGAGCGTCATGCAGCCTTCCCTCCCAAGAAATAACTCAGAGACTGTGGTTAAGAGACACGCTCAGCATCAGCACTGGGGCAGCAGACTCTGCAGTGGTACAGCGAGGTTTGCTTCCTCTGCAGCAGGGAACTGCACAGGGATAAAGAAGCTCCAGGAGTTTTTTCCCTTGGTGCCCTAAACCACTTTCTGCTCCAGGATGGAAGGTTTTCCAGCCCTGCTGCTCTTGCTGGCACTACCAGGTAAGGCTCAGGGAGGCCACACAGAGTGTCTGTGCACAGAGGGAGAGTCCTCCAGAGCCCACAAGAAGTTATGGGAGAAGAGATGGTGGTGCAAGGGGCTGTCAGAAAAGTGCTGTCCAGTCTCAGCCTTGAGTTTCCCTGTGAAAGAAAGGATTCACCTTTTCCATACCTGCACTGCTCAGGTGACTGATGGACTCTGGACAGGGCTGGTTTTCAGGGATCAGGGCAGCACTTCCAAGAGGGAATCTGACCCTCAGCTGTGGGTCAGGATATCTGCAGAATATTCTTCTGCAGGGAATACAGATGGTGGTTTCACCTGAGGGTGAGCTCTGAGGTCGACTGTGTGCTGGGTGGGAGACAGCCACAATAAATCAAGAATGATGTGCCATTCCCATTTTTGTTTCACAGCTAAAGAGTTTGTCTTGGGACACAAAGATCCCACCAGAGGTTATCCAGGACAGGGCAAAACTCTATTACATAGTTTAACATAGAACCACAACAGGTACCTGTGTGTATCAAGAGGCAGAAATGGCCAGGAAATTATTTTTACTATATTAAATAAAATGTCTCAAGGGAAAAAAAAAAAGAAAATAATCAATAATTTACTTGTTCCCATCCAAACCAATGAATGCAATGTATTAGGATTGTATTAATCAAAACCAAATGGGTTTGGGACAGAATAGATCATAGAATCCCAGAATGGTTTGGGTGGGAAGGGACATTAAGGACTGTGCTGACCTTGGCTCTGCCCCTGGGCTGGGGGACACAGATCTGTGCAAGACAACACCAGGAAACTCCAGCACTGTATTTGGTGCAAAGCAGTGTCCCAAATTGAAGGTAACTCTGATCAAAGTTTCCTTAAAGCAGGAGGGACTGGAATGATGAATGAGTTCTCATGGCAAATGATTAGAGTGCGGCTGAGAAAGCTCCAGCTTAATGACTCCAGAGAATATCAACTCCAGAGCTTTTTGCAGGGGAGAAACAAACCACGGAATAGCAGCAAGCTGGAAGTTTGGGGTGAGTTAATAAAAAAATTAATGATCTTCCAGAAGTCAGCAATTTTTTTACCCCTTGACAAGAAAGATTTCGGGTCAGTGTTAAAGAGCTCTCTTTGGAGCCTGGAAATTTCCTGAGACACAGGTAATTCCTGAATTTCTTTTTTTAAAACATATTTTTGATACATACTAATGGGATAAACAAATTGGAGCCAACTGCTTTGAGGGGGGCTGGCTTGGCTTCATTGATTAATGAAATTCTTCATTTACATCAGCAGATGGAACAGGCTCTGAGCAATCCAGATCTTTGCTGGAGAAAAAGTCATCAATTTTTTAGCAGGAGAAAGAGTCCCCAGGGATGGATTGACACGGGAAAATCACCTACTCATGGGGGTTTTTTTTGTTGGTTTTGTTTGTTTCTTTGTTTGTTTTGGTTTTTTTTTTAAGAGGAATATAGGTCTTTGGATACAGACTCTGACCCCATTCCATTTCCCACTGAGAAGGGGGACATTGCCACAGATGACACCAATAAGGAGCAGAGGTAAAACCAATGACTCCCAGACTCTGGATGCACAGCAGGATTCGAGGAGCAGTGTCACACACACACACACACACACACACACACACACAGGCTTCCCCTTCTCTCTACAGTTTGTTCCAACCTCCCCAGTCCCATGAGAAGATCTCGAAGGTTCCTTTCAGATTCAGGAGCACTAAGTGAGGCTTCTGCTGAGGATGCTCAGTGTGACCATGTCCTTGCTGTCTAACTGGTTAAAAAAGGGACACAAATATGGGCCAGGCAAAGCCACAGTGACTCTGCCTTGGTACCAGCAGCCCAGCCCAAGATCCACCCAGCCAAACCCACAGCACGTCAGACCAGAGGCATTCCCTGATCAAAAGTGACCCCACTAATGATCCTGATCAAAGACAGACCCTGAGAAGGGCTACTGAATCCTGGTAGCACTGCAGATGACTGCAGGAAGGGAATCCAAGCCCCTGATTCCTCCCCAGGCTTGCCAAGTGCCAAGGAAAACACAGCTGGTGGGATGGATCCTCTGTGGCTGTGGATCAGTCCTGACCTCACAGAACCACACTTGGTTAGAGACAGCAAGGGTGGTATTTGGGTGCTGAATTTTATCCTGGAAACATAATTCACTGTAAAACACACAAAATCCCCCCCACATTAACCTCATCACCTCTGGTGCTGTAAATAGTAACGGAGACATCGTGGGTTTGCCTGCAGCAGTCGCTATGCCCTCGTGGTGCTGAGCTCCTTCCTGCCCACCACTGCTCTGGTTGCTGCTGTTCTCTTCCTCCTCACCACCTACCTCAGAATGAAAAGAGCAGGTAAAGATCCCACCTCCTCCTGTCTGGTTTTCCTGCCCCTCGACTTGTCCTCCCACCTCCCTGGATGCAGGGAGGGTCTATCCACAGCAACCCCTGTCCAAGGAGGCAGGGATGAGCTGGGAGAGAATGCAAGGAGTGAGCTGAATCCAGGGAAGGGACAGCAGGGAGAGTCAGGTTTAAAATGGAGAGGTAAAGGTGTTGTTTCACACTCAAATGGGTTTCTGTCATTCTTGGTAGGAAAAGGGATGGACACTGGCAAACATTCTGCTTTCAGACAGAGAGCACTGCAGGTAAGACACCAGCAGAAATCCCACATCGCTGGTGCTTTGATCCCTGCCGTGCAGACACTGGCTCTGTGTCACCAAGCAGCAGTTCCATCCATCCTGCAGTGGGTGAGAGGCATCCCCTCAAGCTCCCAGACTGAAGCTGCCTGCACTTCTTGGTTGTCTGACTTCTTTTTGTCAAGCAGCCACAACCTACCTTGGTTATTTGAGGAAATCCCAGCCCTTCCGCTTAATTTTGCTTATAGTACTCAGAAAAATAAGTGTAATAACAAATACACAATGTTGATAATTTACTGGCCTTGAATCTGCAGTAACATCACCAAAGCTTCTTATCAAAGGAAAACTTTATCATCCTAAATATTCAGTGTGTTGATTGTGGCTGCACCTTTCTACCCCAGTCCCTTCAATCTTATGAAGTTGAATTTGCGTAGAAGTTTCCTAAAGTTCTCTGAGTGCACATTCCCTTTTGCCAAACATCCCCTCCGCTTCTCCCCAGTCTCGTGAGACAAGAAGGAAATATCTGTGTCTGTAGATGAACTAAGGCTGACATTCAGAGACACTGAATCTCTTTATCTTCTCGTTCTTTGCGGTTTCTCAGCTCAGGGGACACAAAGGCAGCGGGATGGCAGGAGGGGAGCTGGGCAGAAGCACAGTGTATGCTGTGCTCAGGCCCCGGCCGCAGCCCAGCCCCGAGGATGTTCTGTATGCCAACATCCAGCCCGCTCCAAAGCTTTGCTGCCACGTGCAGGAACCGCCGGGAAATTCGGCCTCCTCAGGGCTCGTGGAATATGCGACTGTTCTCTTCAGAGCAGCAGCTCCACACCCTGACACTGCAGCACAGAAAAGCACCTGAAGAAAGCAGCACAAAGCCCTGGGCTTGTTCGCTGGATTCTGCAGAACCGCACTTCGAGCAGCCCGTTTGCACCCAGCTGCTGAAGGTGCACGTGGGGGCACAAACCTGCCCTGGAAAACACCTGCGCTTTTCTAACAGCACAGTCACACCCAGCTCTGGCTGGGCAAATCCAGGAGAAAGCTGTGGTACGTTTGCTTTTCCAAACTGCTCTATTTTTAAGTGACAGAGAACTATAAACCCAAATACAGGAAACTGGTTCTGCCTGGCAGCAGCTGATACAGCACCACAGCCAGCAAGGGGCTGTGAGATACAGGAGATGCTTCCTTTGGACTTTCTTCAACAACTCACTTGAATACTCACAGATAAAGCGTTAATTACAGCCCAGTCTGATAAGATCCAAGTCAGCAAAGTGGTAAAAATCTGATTTTTTTTGAAAAACACGAGGCATTTCCTGGGCTTCAGAGAGACGGACAATGCACTTGACATGTTTGAGTAAACAAGGGGCTTGATGGAAAATATTTGTCTACTTTATAATGTAAACTGTCATCAGCTTGAACGTGCGGGGGTGGAATTTACATTTAAAATTATTGATTTGTTTTACAAAGAAATAACTTTGTATTTCCCTGTTTGTTGTTCATTAACACACACCCATGCTCCAGGATAAACCCAGCTTGACTTTATTAAAAATTGTTGATCAAACCATGTTGATCATGGTGATGTGATCAAACATCCCTCAGGGATTATGGATAAATCCCCAAATTCAGATGACTGAGATTTTCATCTTAATTCTGTGAGCTGGAGCCTAAAGATGCTGAAAAGGACACAAAAATAGGTTTAAATCTTGATCCCAAGATTACAAGAAAACTCCAGCCTGGGCACTGGGTGGCAAAGGAGGGAAGGAATGGGGGAAAACAGGGAATACATCCATGGATTGTATAAACTCTGTGAGTTATGTATCTGCCTTTGAGTGCCTGTGCAATTCCGAGGGTGAGAGACAGAAGTTAAATTCTGTTGACTGCTCTGATGTGGCTAAACAATATCAGGCTTTTTATCATCATATCTCAGATCATTTTGTTATTCTACTGCAAATTGTATGAAAACAAAGCTAGAAAATTACATCATAATAGTTAAAGAAACCTATTTCTGGCTTCCCAAACAGCCTTGCATGATTGTTCTCTTCCTGTCCCAGCTTCCCATTCTCTGTTCTTACATAGTTACTTCCTTTTTTTTTTTTTTTTTTTTTTAAATGATCATCACTGTATTGCCCAATTCTGGAAAGAACTAACGACACTTACCCTGGTGCTTTGGGGCATTTTTGAGATGGCAAAAGTGCTGGTGTGGTGTCGATACCGTTAAGAATTTCCAATACCATGGGGAATGTGCTGATCCAATCCTGTGGAGAACTCTGGAGCGGCACTCCTGGAACAGCAGCGTGTCCATAGGGATCACAGAACACAGAAACTGTCTCGTAAAGCGCCAAGGTGGAGGGGTCAGACTGAGGGGAGGCAGAGGCCAAAATGGCGGGGTAGGACTGAGGGGAGATGGACGCCAAGATGGCGGGACAGGACTGAGGGGAGATGGACGCCAAGATGGCGGATGGCTGAGGGAGATGGCGCCATGGCAGGGTAGGACTGAGAGGAGATGGACGCCAAGATGGCGGGGTAGGACTGAGGGGAGATGGACGCCAAGATGGCGGGGTAGGACTGAGAGGAGATGGACGCCAAGATGGCGGGACAGGACTGAGGGGAGATGGACACCAAGATGGTGGGGTAGGACTGAGGGGAGATGGACACCAAGATGGCGGGGTAGGACTGAGAGGAGATGGACGCCAAAATGGCCGTGCCATCCCCACAGCGGGGCCAAGGCCACCCCCTGCTCTTGCAGCTGCCACGTCACTCACAACGTCCAAGTACAGGAAAAAAGCTTCCCGGTTTATAAATTTTATTAGCTGGAGAGTGTACACAGTACTTACAATTGCATCTATTAAAGACCAAAATACACTTGAAAAAATGCATCATATAAAAAAAATTATAAACTTTTAACTATATACAAACTTTGCCTGACATTACTTTAACCTCAGGACCCTCCCCATCCATTCACAAAGAAAAGTTTATTTTTCCCTTCTTTTTAACATGCAGGGCCTTAAACCCATCTAGCATCACTTGAGAACCATTTTTTTCCCAAATCCCACTCTTTACACTCATATAAATCTGGTTTTTTGAGGGGTTCGCTGCTTCAGTGCTCTGGGTCGATCAACCACATTTCTCCCCGAGCCTCTTTTATCCTCATCCTTTTACTCTCCCCTAAAGTTTCTGCTCAAGTGTAGCCAATAAACAAAGAATTCTCATTTAATTTCTAGAGAGGTTTGAACTGGACGATGTCTCCAATTTCACAAATTTCCCCCGGAAAAGAAAGCAGACATTTTTGGTACCGTGGTGTTGACTGGTGACTCCAGCCTCACCAAGTAAACAGGACTTCCAGCAGTGATACACAAAACTCAAAACAAAACAATCTGACCGGAGCACTCAGGCTGTCACATCACTATTTAAAGCATCAACAATAAGACCTTCTATAACACAAATCATGTCTTCATATACATTCTACAACAACGGATCAGAGAACCTAGATATGAAGGGCTTATTGGGAAACAAGTTCTACCTCTTTAGAAGAAGCTTACAAGTTCTTTAAGAAAATTACTCATAAAAAAACAAACAAACAAACAAACAAAAAAGAGCAAAATAAAAACTATGTCAGAGCAATAACCTTGCTTCCCAAATTTCCAGCTCTCAGAGGGGCTCCCTCAGGACAGATTAACCATCAGCTAAAAAGCAGAAGCATCGTGGAGAGGCTCTTGCTCCAGCACTAAAATATTCCACCAACAAATGTACAGATGCTCTAAAAATAATATTTACAATGCTGCTGCAAACCCAACTAAAGCAAATGTTATTCCCTAAGAGAGCTGCATGTTCCTGAAATGGGGAGCTCCCAGGAAATGCTGCGTGAGGGTTTCAGGTGCCAACTGAGGAAAATCAGCACCACGCTGGAATTGGGCAGGAATTTAAGGCAGAAGCAACCCAGGGCCCCGACAATGCCATCAGCACCGTGGGCAGGGTACAGACACGGAGCTAAGGATTCAGGAAAATGAACTGGAATCCTTTAGAACATCCAGCTGCCCAGTTATGAACACCCACCTGCATTTCCTCCTCGTCCTTCCACTGGCCACCTGCCTCCACAGGTATCATCCCTAGTACCTGGACAAGCATCCCCTTCCTCCAGGATTGCCTGCAGACAATGTAGAACCCAGCATCTCTTCACCTTTCTGCTCCCTCCTCTTGCACTCCCTCCCTTCTCACACTCTTAGCTTTAGTACCTTTGTTTCATATGAAGTAAACAGAATTTTCAAGGTTCTGTCTTTTGTATGCACAACTTGCTGATTTGTCCTCCACTCTGCCTTTAGCCATAAGCTTCCAGTAAATGGGAAAACATGGGCAGGGAGGGGGAAGAAATAATGCGGGTTTTATTTTTCAAGCTCCATTTACTTCCTCTGTCACTTGAAAACAATCTTCACTGAATTTCACCCAGTCTCAGCCATCCTTGGCTGCTTTGCTCAAAAACCCCAAAACCCCTCACTCTGCAGCTTCACCTTTTCAGGGTCATATTCACCTGGCAATATTCCCAATCCCAAGTTTCACTGCTGTGATCCAGTTTTAACTACAGAACAGAAAAACTGACTCCAGCAGGCACATGATACACAGAGCAGCTTTAAACTCATTAAGGTGGGAGTGGACAGGCATGGAATGATGTGAGATCACCTGTTAACTGCTTTTGGCTACTGCTCCCACCACCAAATTTCAAAGCAGTAAGAATGGAGCAGGCTGAGAATCTGGAATGAGCTACTGAATGAAAGATAAATCTGTTTTGTGGAGTTGCTCAGCCCAAAGCCAGCTGTAGGTCATGGAGAAGTCCCTTTTTTTAAAACTAAGTTCTCCTCTTTCATTTTTTTTCTTTTTTTGTTTTAAAGAGAATAACCTATAATAAAGCCTGAAAGGTTCTTCAGTATCTGCCTCCATTTGTTAACAGTCCTTCAGGTACCTCAGGACGGGATGAGCTGCCCCAGCTGCTGCTGTAATGGAACATCCCTCCCTCTGTAGAATTGTAGAGTTGATTTGGGCATCAAAAATACCATCATGAAGCTGATCAAGTCTTCTGGAAGAACCCTGCACTCGACTGGCAAGTTAGAAGGAAGATTTAAAACAAAAAATCCTTTGGAAGAGACTCACTTAAAAGTTTAAATCACTTTTATACTCGCATCCAGTTTTCTTCCAAAGCAGTAACTACTGGCAATAAACACACAACCCCCCCCAGAGACTGCTTTTACTAATGAAATCCTTCTCCCCACATCACCCTCTCCCACCTTAGTTCTTGGAACAGACACACAATACACCAAGTCCTGCAGTAATCTTGAGTATTTCTATCACTGACTGATGGCTGAACCTTTCCCCAAGAAGAGCTTGCTGTTTACACATTTACAAAGTGGAGTTGAAAAGAATCCCCTTCAGTTTCTGCCAGGTCCAGAAGTGCAACAACAAGGACCAGTTCAGGGAAACGAAGTCCGAAGGTGTGAGGAGTGGATGGAAATACGTCCCTGCTGGGCAAACACAATCCTGTGGTGCAGCTGACGAGCACTCAGACTCCAAATTCCTTGTGCTGGATCAGGAGAGTGCACCAAGGCAGTCTGGAAGTTTGTTTGCTGAGTTAAAATCTCCACCACGCCCTGAACACGTGGTGCTTGTTCTGTAGAAAAGGACAGGCTGTGACACGGTGATTGTCCCACTCTGAGACTCGTTGGACACACTGGACAGGCAGGACACACTGGCAGGAGGGCCGGGAATTCCATCCAGGTGTTTTCTCCTGGCAGCAGTGGTTAGGAGACTCTGATCATCTGTGTCATCGCTTCTTCGTTGGTCTGAGTGGGATCCTGCAGACACAGAACACATCCCAGACTCCAGCGATTTTCCATGGAGCAGAGGGAAGCACACACAGCTCCCAGGAGCAGACACTCCCACCCTCCCTTCACACTGACAGGTGTCCTACTGTTCCTGGGTTTCACAGGCCACTGGAAGAGACTGAACACAGAAACCCTAACAGTTCCCAGGAAGGTGCTGTCTCTGGTAATCTGGAAGACCTATTACTGGCCTGGTATTTGGGAAGGATTCTACTTCAGAATAAGAAATATTTCCTAAAGCCACAGGACTGCTCTAAAGAACTGATCAACACACAGAATCTGGAAATTCTACTCCATTGTGTCCCTTCCTTTGAAACCTGCCTTGCACTTTCTATGCAAATCAATGTGCAGCTGAGAATCAGATATTCACATGTTTTAATTTTCCATCAGATGTAAGATAAGGTGTCTCTACCTTTAATTCATGTCCTAAAAGATCAGTGCTGGTACCTAACCAGAAAGGCTGTTTTACAAACACAGAACGTTTGTGTGAGTTTGCCCTAAGAAATACAAAGTGAACACACTTCTATCCACATTACTGTAATTAAATTCCTCAAGGCAAACCTCACTTGCTCTCTACAAGCAGCGAGACAGGAGGGTTTTTTTCCAATGCCTGAAACATAAATTCAAAGGCAGGGAGGAACAAGGATCAGCAGCCTCCAAAAAACCCCAACAAAGTACAAGGCCTGTGAAGAGCAACGTGAAGGACTGAAAGGGGCAGCTGTCCCATACCCAGACAAAAGCCCACTGACCTGCATGTGAGGGCTGTCCTTCTCCTTGGGGGAGAAGAAGCGTCCCCCCTCTCCCCGTTTCCTGGCCATGGCGTGCCGGTGCCGTGACTCGTGCAGGTATTTCTGCAGCAAAGGGAAGGGGGACATGAGCGAGCAGCCACAATTCCCAGGCCAGTGCTTCCTCAGGGGAAATTCCCGACCTCTGGAAAAGCCTGCTCCGCCCCCATCCATCCCCCTGCCCACAGACAAGGTGTGTACAGGCAACACCCACTGGCAGCCCAGCTCCAAAGACACCCCGAAGCATCCAGCCAGCGTGGATTCTGGGCCTGTCTCACACAAGACACACACCTGCTGTTGCACTAACAACCCGGGCTCAGATCAGAGTTTTATTCTCACCCTTCTTTCCTTGGGAATTTTTCCCTCTGCTTCCAGCTTAGCCCGTGCCTGCCTCCTCTTGAGGATGCGGTGGTACTGCTTGGCATTCACATAGAGGGGCTCCTCCTCCAGCATCTCTGCCCCAGGCAGGGGGATTCTCTGGATGGCTGGGACTGACCCAGCTCCAGGCACCATCTGCACGGAGAAGGTGGGTTTAGTACTTGCACAACGCAAAATGAACACTAAAAATATTTTAAAATAAATCAAAACATTAAAATGGAAAGTGTTTGGGTTTTGCTCGGATAATGCAGCTACTTAAATTAAAAGCAGCAATAAAGCTGTTCTCAAACTGCAGAACAAATTACTTATCAGTCCTGCTTGTTTTTTTCTGATAAAAGCAATATTTCAATAAATTATACAATTCCATGACCATGATTGCTGCTTTTTGTACAGTTAAACAAAACAGGGCATACCAAGTCTTCCCTTTTTTTGGGTTCTCTCTTATTTGAATTACATGCTAATTTCAGAGCATTTCTAAGCAAACATTGCAGAGCTGCTGACATCTAGTGGGGACCAACAAAATTCCAGGTAAAGGGCCTCACACTACAAAAGTAATAGGAGCTGGCAGGAAAAACCTCTGTGAACCAGAGACACAAATCCTAAGGGAAAATCAATGTCTGACTCAAACTATTTAAGCCTTAAGGCCTCCCTATCACTGCATACCCTTGAGAAAATCCAGGTGGATCAGTGTACAGGCATCTGAGACCTCAGCCCTTAAAGACACCGGTGGGAAGTTTCACACCTACCATGACCATTCCCCCCGAATTGACGACGTTTCCAGCCACTGGCAGTGTCACTGTGACCGTCCCTTGGCCACTGCTGGTGGTGTTGGTGTTGGCTCCCGTCTGGACAATCTGTGCTCCAGCCAGGCTGGCTGCTGGAATGGTGATCATGCCTGTAACAGGGACTGTAACTTTAAGGAAGTAAAACACAAAAGAAAAAAAAAAAAAAGAAAGAAAAACAAAACAAAAACACGCACACAAAAAGAAGGGAACACCATTAGTCCCACTTCTGTGTTTTACTCATTCATCCTTCCATAACATGCAGAGCTTCAGGAAAGCACGGAAGTGAGTAACTCCATTCCATCAGAACTCCTGGGGTTTGCATTTGTACCTGCACAGTAACCCCAGGGTGATGTAACCCCGTGTGCCTCGAGGCAGAACAGCAAAACTGAGGGTTTCTGTTCTAACAGCCCTCACCAAAGACAAGAGCCATTTTTTACAGTTCCAGGGAAGGAACCTCGGAGTGAATTCCTGCAGAACACAAACATCTCCTCCCACATTCACACACCACTGCAGCTCAGTGTTTGCTCTGACAATGATCACAGGGCACTAAAGAACCCCCCCCAGGAGCCACTGCCCCCCTGCCTCTCTACCTTGCTGCAGGATGGTGCCGTCGGCGTTCACGGGCTGGTACACGATGGTCTGGCCCTCAGCAGCCTGGGCGACCTGCTGGCCTTGCACTGCTATTTGTTGTTGGGTCTAAACAAAACAAACAACAAGGCAACTTTACAGACTGTTTCTTTTTTTCACATTCTACAACTCCTGAATTAACACATGGTGCTTGAGGTGTTCCAGGCACCTGTTTCTGTTGCCTCATCACCAGCATCAAGAAATAGGCTGGAGCACAAGCCAAATAACTGGAGGCAAAACACCTGAAGCACATGTGAGATATTTTTTCTAACAGTGCAGTGTTCAACATTGAAAGAACAAATTCTAGGTTTCCTGACTCACTATGAATACACCAAAGGAAGAACTATTCTGCTCCAAAATTTAATTTTGGTCCTAACCAAAAGCATCAGAAACCCCAGGTGTGACTGGACTATTCCACAAAATGGCCCAAGTATGGAATTAGCAATGCTTCATGTTTTCAAAATTCAACAAATAGACAAAAACATCCACGAACCAATAAAATACAGAGACACAATGGATAAAAACATGCAATCTAGTTATTCTGCCCCAGAGTTATGCATGAAAACACTACAGAAACATGACATTTATTCTCAAGTTCTCCTCAATATTAATAATTCCTTTTTTTTTTTCCCTTTTTTACTTAACCACATCTTAAGTCATTTGGCAAGTTTCTCTTCCTGTTCCTCTCCAGAAAAGCCTTTCATGCTGGTGCAGTTACCTGTGTCTGGCCAGCAGTAACTGCAGTCTGGGGCTGCTGTATAATGATCTGCTGGGTCTGGCCCTGCTGCCCCTGTACCTGCACAGCCTGCCCACCTTGAATCTGAATCTGACCTGGCTGGACCAACTGAATCTGTGGAAGAAAGAGTCAGAAAGGAACATTAACTATGCCTCTGATTTCTCCCTCCTTGGCCTCAGCATGACCAAGTCATCCCTGAGGATGATTTACTGTTGCACAGAAAAAGAAAGCACCGAGTCTTCTCTTTTTCCATTTTAAAATGAAGAGTTTTAATGGATTCCTCCCTGTGACACATCACCACAGCCACAGAGCAGAGGGACCAACATGCTGTGTCACTGTGCTCCAGCAGTTCTCCACTGCTTACACAATACATCAGTCAGAAGAAATAAATTATTCACATGAAACTGGTAATAATAATAGTCAGGTGAAAGAAAAGAGGACTAAGATTTAAGACATCTGTGGAGTGTTAATCATCCAGCATACAAAAGTACTCTTGGTATATATAAAGTTGTCCTCAGCTTTGCAAAGTCTTTCCATCACCATGAAACATTCTTAGATTAAAAAAGGGAACTGGAATATGGTTTGAAGCTTGTGCTTAAAAACCCAGTTATTGATTTTCCTCCAACAACCAGACTGGAAAAAACCTCACACAAAATATAATGGTTTTCAACAAAAGAAATTTTAAATTAACCTCTCAAAACACCAAGACTTGATTTGCCTTCCTGGACTGTGCTGACCTGGATTCCTAAATCCCATTCTAAATCACCAGGACACTTCCACTATGCCATGGTTACAGTTCTTCCCTTTGCTTCACAAACAAACACACTTCAACCACCTCTTTAAATTTACAAGTATTTCCAGATAATCGTTTCCAAAAAATCCACCTTCTGTACCTTGTACAGTATTGCCTTCTGTGCAACGGGGATGTTAAATTCCCCTTCAGCCATCACAGAGTAGATGAGCTCAAGCACAGGAGGTATTTTCCAAAGGCTTCCTTCACTTTTTTTTTTTTTAAATCCTCTTTCTGAGCCATAAATTGAGCAGGCACCAGATCCCCAAGTACACTGCAAGGGCCAGGTAAAATGAAAAAAAAAATCCCAACAAACAAAAAACCTGGGCTAGTGGAAGGTGTCCCTGCCCATGGCAGGGGTGGAACAGGATGGGCTTTAAGGTCCTTTTTAACCCAAACCATTCCACGACTGTACAAAAAAAACCAACCCAACCCAGCTGTATTTCAGTGCACTTCAGCCCAGGGGTTTGCACTGAGCCACAAATCACAGCAATGATGTTCACCAGGGCCTCTCCTGGCACTCCCGACAGGCTCTCAGTGCCAGACCCCCCGCCCAGAGCGGGCTCTGCCCCACGGCTGGGGGAGCCCCCCACGTGTCCCCAGCGAGCTGCAGCCAGCCCTGGCTGTTGGACTCACCTGCTGCAGCCCCTGCGTGCCCGACACCGGCACCTGCATGATGGTCTGGCCCTGCCCGCCGGGCACGGCCTGCACCATGATGGGCTGCCCGGTGGAGGTGATGAGCTGCCCGCCGCTCACCTGGACCATCAGCGGCTGCCCCTGCACCTGCACACAACCACAGACAGAGCCACGATGAAAAACCCCCCCAGGCCTTACCCACGGTGCCCTGGTGGGCACAGAAACCCAGCAACAGGCACTGACCCGCGTTCAGAACAGCCTGGCTTGCTAAAGCTTCCTCCAGGATGTGCTCCTGGGTTTAGTAAATTATCTGTTTCTCTTGAGGTCTAATTGCTATAAAGCATGAAAAGCATTACCAGATTTTCGAGCCACAGTAACTCCCTTCATGCACAGCCCAAGAGCAAAGTGGAATAAAAGAAACTCCATTCTCCACATCACAATTACTGATCTTTAACTGGGGTGCCTGTTGAGAGAGCTCTGGATAAGCTGCTCTTACAGGGAGATTCTGGAGTGGCTTCAGCTCCCTCCAATTTCATGCCTACAACATTTCCATTTCCTGACACGGAGCATGTGATGTGCTTAGAGAAACTCTTCATGGTTATTAAGTGAAACTGTAACTGGAGCAACACAAAATGTAGTTCAGTGAGGAAAAGTAAAAGCAGATGAGCTGCCCCATCCCTGGGAGTGTCCAAGGCCAGGCTGGACAGGGCTTGGAGCAACCTGGGCTGGTGGAAGGTGTCCCTGCCCAGGGCAGGGGGTGGCACTGGATGGGCTTTAAGGTCCCTTCCATCACAAACCAGGCTGGGATTCTGTGGTAAGCTTGGCGTGAAAGCCTCTGGTCACTGGGAAAAAGGCCCATGAAAAGAAAAAGGGGGAAAGCTCTCTGTTTAAACACCCTCACCTGCCAAATCCACAGGTTCCCCAAATATATCTGGGAAAATGGTCTCCTCCACAGCTTAAACGTGAAATGAGTTGTGAAATAGGAAATCACTCACAAGCTGAGTTGTTCAGGAACAGCAACACAACATGGTAAGAGGTCACTGAGTTCCTGTGTTTCTCCTTGTGAGTCCCTGGGAGCTGGGACAGGCAGGACAGAGGGAACCTGGCAGGGCTCACACACCTCAGCAGTGCCAACCAGCTGTACCTCAGAGAGGAGTCCTACCCAGACCTGGTGACAGGCCCCCTCAGAGCTGTGACACTGCCGTCCCCCAGCCTGCACAGGTCACATCCACGTCCCTCAACACATCAGCAGTACTTGGTCTGGGTTACAGGGAGGAGCATGCTCATGTCAGCCACAGAGAAGCACAGGCAGCAGCACAATAGCCAATAAGCAGAAAGGAAAACGACACATTCCAGGACTTTTGTTAATGAATTAGAGCAAGACAAAACGAAAAAGGGTGGGGAACAGAACAACAACCAGAGCCCACAGTGACCCAAGCAATCCAAGTCAGCCAGCGATTCAGATTTGAACTCTGAACATAAAAAATGCTGTGTTCACTTTGCACCTGGCAAGACCATTCCAGCCCCTTGGAACTCTCCTGCTCTGAAGAACTCAAAACCAAAGGAAACCAAAAAACTGAGAGCAAAGTGCAGTGCTAAATGCTGTGGCTGCCCAGGGTCTGTCAGCTGCTTTAAAGAGGGTTTGTGAGCCCCTGTAAAGCCTGTGTGAGGGAAGGAAATGGGGTCTGCAGACAGAAAATACTTCACACTGAAGCAAATCCTTCCTTTCCATCTATGATGTATTTACAGCTTGGATTCCCACTGCTCCTGGGTTGCCCTGTGTTATTCCTTTGTAAATAAGAAATGGGATCCCTCCATCCCAGAGAGGCCAATATTGTCCCCAGGTGCCCTTTCTAGCACAGGAAAAGGTTTCACTCTTCGAGCTCAGGGCTCACCCACCACCTCTGCCTGTCATGTAGTGAAGAACTACAGGACTCACAGGGGAGATCAGAACACTCATCCCCTTGAACTACAGGAAATCTCTGGGGTTTATCTCCACTGCCACTTCCTCATCTGGATGTTTTCTCCCTTGAAGCCCCACTTAACGCCTACTCCCTTTGGGAATCACAGCAGCAGGAATTCCTGAATGCAGCAGGGGTTCTGGGAGACCCCCTTGAAGCTCCAAGGCCACGGAAAACCCCACCCAGCCCCACAGCATCCAGCACAGGAACTGCTGTTCCAGTCCTCCTGTCCCTGCTGCAACCCTGGAACAAACACAGCATTAGATATGTGGCGTGGGGAGGGTCATGCAGTGCTCACAAACACAATCAGAGAGATCACCACTACCTGCAGGGTCTGGACTTGCTGGCCTGAGGCCGATGCCACCTGGGCCTCAGTCTGCAGCTGGACAGCAGTGACACCTCCCTGCTGCTGGGAACAGGAACAGGGAGAGCTTGAAACAGGGCAATGCACAGCTCTGGCACGAGACAACGACGAGGGTGAGCGTAAAATTCATACACACTGCTCTGGGAACAGTGGGACGGGAACGTTTAGCAAACCTAGGGATGGAATTCCAACAGAACTGCACGTGACACTGACAGGCTGCAACACCCCACCTCAATTCACCTACAGAGGACAGGGGGCATTGTCTGGCAGAGTTTGAAACCTCCGTTCCAGGGCTCTATCCCGCTCAGTGCTCCTTTCACTGCCCAGGTTTCTCACTGTGAAGGGCTGCAGGGTTTGGTCACTCTGGTTTGTCACAACAAAGGCCACAAACCCCTTCCTGCAGCACAGCTGGAGCTTCATCTCTGCCCTCTCTGTGTCAATCTCTGCCCACCACTGACCTTGAAGGACAATCTGGAGAGGCTGCAAGAGCAGTTAGAGCTAAAAGCCTTCTCTATCTTTAGCCTCCTTGGTAAGAGTCCCAAAATAATCTGTGTAACTGTGTTAGCTCTGGGGAGATGAAGGACAGCTCTCTCCTAAGAGCTTTACTGCAGCAGCCTCCTAAAACAGCTTATTTTAGAAAAACATCTCATGTAAAACACAGGCTTTAAGAGCATGTACTGACAGTGAAAGTGCCAATAAAACCAAACAGATCTTTGGTTATCTGCTGGAAGCAGGTATTTGTGATAGACCCTAACGTAACATTTTTTAACCTCAATCAGAACAATCTTGTTCTGACTGAAAAAGGTAATTAAATGCAATGGAAGAGGCTGGTCCTTGCTGAAGCCAAAGCCAAGCAGATCTCACTGAGAACATGATCCAGTGGCTCATCCCTTTGCATGACAAACTACCAAACTCCTCTTGCCTTGAACCAGAACAAACAGAAGATGCAACAGAAGTTCAGCAGCAGCAAAACTGATCTGAAAATACATCACTAAATCTGAATGGGGGAAGCTTAACAGTAAAAATCACTAAGCCCTTAAAACCCCAGCCCTGCTCATCTGCACGCTGTAACATGCAGGAACTTCTTTCTGGAAGGGATCAGTTCATCCCAAGCTGCATGGTTTGTTTAATTCCTGTACTGTGTGTTTGTTTTGATCCACCTGCAGTTCTAAAATGAAGAATCTCAATAAAGATTTCTTTTGAGGAAGCTTGGAGGAAGCCTCTGTGGGCTTGAACAAAACCTGTTTCAGTCTGGAGGGGAACCTCCACTGTTCCTGTGGACAACTGCCTGTTTCTGTTCACAGTCTGTTTCCTCCATTTTCAGAGATTTGTTCCTCTCCTCACATGCCCCAGTCTGCCAACTCCCTGCTACACTGACACCTGGCCACTTGTACACCTGCAATTGAATTTCATAATTAGTGCATTTTAAACCCCACATCTCCTCTGACCTTCAGCCAAGTCAGGTCCCTGAGCAGGTGCCACAGGTCAGGTCAGCACGTGTCCAGGCAGGATCAGTGCCCCTCAGTGCTCCTGTGACCCTCTGGGGACACAAAGGGCGTGTCAGTGAGCACTGAGCCCTCCAGCCCCCCCTGCTCCCCTTCCATACCTGCTGCTGGATCTGCCCGGCCTGCACCACGATCTGCTCCGTGGAGCTGCTGCTGTTGGCCGTGTACTGCTCCATGGCTCACACCACCTGGGGACAGGGAGAGACAGCTCGTCATTGTCCCAGGCTGCACGATCTGGGTCCTCTCACAGGGGCACAGCAAAGCATCTGCTGCCCCCAGGGCAGGATCCCACAGGCTGCTTCACCTCCTTCACAGCGCTCAGGAAGGAACCAGAGGGGTCAGGTCAAGCACATCTACCCTGACTGAGGGGCAGAAAGCATCTCAGTTCTGTCCTGATCTTCAGTGCCTCAAACTGGAGCTCTGAACCTGTTCCTCCTCCTCTTGGAGTCTGCGTGTCCCAGGCTACAGACACCTGCCTATGGGGGAGTGTCACTGCTAAAGAACTTCCCAAAATACAACATTTGGGTGTAAAACCAAACTTCATTTCAAGAATTCAACAGAGATAAGTGAAGCTATCTCCTTCTCCCACTACATACCATTCCTTGTATCCCTTCCTCTGCTCCTATTTTTGCAGAATCATGGAATGGTTTGGGTTGGGAGGGACCTTAGAGCCCACCCAGTTCCACCCTCTCCAAGCCGGCCTTGAACACTCCTGGGCATGGGGCAGCCTCACAACCCTCACAGGGGTTAATTCTTCCATAAAGAATTTCTATACTCAAACATATTCCTCATATATTTTGGGAACCACCGGCAGATTTCCCAGCGCCTCCACCCTGTTACTGCTGCTGGTTCGTCGGCCCTTTCCCTACACACATGAACTGAAATAAAACATCAGCTCCATCACCTCCCCTTCCCTCACGCTGCCTCTCACAGGATCAACCAGGGAGGAATTCTTACTGTTACTGTAACAAGGTCTTTGATTCATGTCATGACTGAGCAAGTACCTGCTACATCAGGGAAAGAAAACACAGCCTGGAACTTTAATTTTCAAAGCTTAAAGCAACGAAGCCCCTCAGGCTCCCTCAGTTTTCCAAGGAATGCTGATAGAATTTAGTCCCAGACTCCCTGGAACAGCTGCTGTGGTTACTGCTGCCGTTTCAGCTCCATCCTTTGCCCGTTCACTAACAGCTTCTCACAGCCTGCCAGAATAAAAGAAGGTAAATTTTCTTCCTGAAGATGCTGGTGTCTGTCACGGGTCTCATTTCAGTTTTGCACTGGATGCTTCATTTCTGCCCCAAATGCCTGTGGGCCTGTCAGAGAGCAGCTCCCACGTTTCCTTCTCCAGGAAGTGTTTCAATATCCAGCACAGGATGCCAGGACACTGTATTTGCCAGGAGTTCTCTGCTTTCCTTAATGCCACGGCCAATAATCAAGCACAGGCAAACCTCTACTTGGGAATGCCTCATCCCAGCCCCCCGGATCAAGCCTGTCTTGTTTAATTAAAATATCAGCAGCACTGTAATCCTAATGCTCTGCACCAGCCGTGACCAAAGTTACAGACCAGATTTTCCACGTGCTGGCTCGTCATCCTCCAAGGGATTATCTCATTCCCTTCATTAAACACAGAGCAGCCAAGTTAAATTTTAAAGATCGGGGATCCATCAATGGCAGGATGGAGCTCCTCCCCCCGGAGCTCACGGGCAGCTCCTCCTCACTGGGAACACACCGGGAATGACTGAGGGCTCCAGCTCCAGAAGCAGATAGTCAGATACACACTGTAAATAAATATATATATATATCTCACAGAATAGCCTAAGTTGGAGGGGACCTGATGGGATCATGAAAGTCTAACTCCTGGCCCTGCACACCAAGAACACATATTTATTTTTATATATACATATACACACACATATATGAGGGCACAGAAGCCGCCCAGTGACAGTCTCCTGGGCAGACAGCCCACTCTAAAGGCAAACCCGTGTGATGCCCAGCCCCGGGACAGGTCCGAACATGTCCCATCCGCGCCGCTGAACGGGCGGGAGTTCCCGAGGCAGAGCTGTGACCCCTGCAAGGGCAGCGGCGAAGGGCACGGGGGTTTCACCGCCGCAGCTTGCTCTGCGCTGCCCGGCACGACCCCCGGCTGGGTCCCTGAGCCCGGGCCGGCCCCGGGCTGCCGCTGTGCTGCGGGAACCGCCGGCCCGGCCCGGGTGCATGCCCCGCTGCCCGGCTGTGCTCCCGGAGCCCCCGTGACCGGACCGGCCGCAGCCGCGAGCGGGGGGGGCGGCCCGGGCCCATCTGCCGCCGGGGAGGCTCCGGGAGGCCCCGGGGAGGGCGGGGCGCCGCCGCGGGAGGACGAGACACCGACTGCCCTGCCCGGCGGCGGAACGGCCGGGCCCGGTTCGGCGGCAGTCCCGGGGCAGGCGCGCGCTATGCCGGCCCCGCTCGCCCCGGTCCCGGCGTGCCGGGAGCCCCGCTCCCGTGCCGGGAGCCCCGCTCCCGCCCCGCTCCCGTGCCGGGAGCCCCGGCAGTCCCGTCCCGGCACTCCCGTCCCGGCAGTCCCGTCCCGCTCCCGCCCGCGCCGCTCCCCCCGCGCTCACCGCTCCGCGCTCCGCTCCGCCCCGCCCTGATTGGCTCCGCCGCGCGGCCCCGCAGCCCAATCAGCGCCCGCACTCGCCCGCCGCGCAAAATGGCGCCCAACCGCGGACAAAGGGGGCGAGGGGCGGCGCCCGCCGCACAGCCCGCGCCCGCGCCCCGCCCGCGCGGCTCTGCGCCTGCGCGGCACCGGCGCCGCGCAGGCGCGAGGGGGGCCCCGCCCCGCTCTCGCGCGTCAGGGGCGGGCGAGGCAGGCCCCGCCCCCCGGTGCGGAATGTTCTGGGACGGTACCATAGAGAGGGGTCCGCCCGCGCGCCCAGAGCGGCCCCGCCGCCATGCTGGGAGGGGAGGATCGCCATGCTGGGAGGGGAGGATCGCCATGCTGTGTGGGGAGGGATTCGCCGTGCTGTGTGGGGCGGTAGAGCCCCGTCGCCGTGAAACCCCTCTGCTTCAGTGTGGGCTGAGGCTGTACCGCCATGTCCCCGTGAGGCGGGACCGCAGTGCTGGCTAAGGCGGTACCGCCGTGTGGGGTGAGGCGGGGCCGCCATGTCGTGTGAGGCGGTACCGGCGATGCCCCCGTGAGGCGGGGCCGCCCTTGCGGAGCGGCCGGAGCGATGTGGGCGGTGCTGGGCAGGCTCGGCGTGGCGCAGGCCGCGGCCTCGGCCCGGCAGATCGCTGTGCTCAGCGCGGGTGCGGCTCCGGAGGGGGCCTGAGGGGCGGGGGGACGAGAAGGAGGGGCGGTAGCAGCGGCCTGGCAGTGCCCGCTGTGCGGTGACCCAGGACCGGTCCCCCCCCCATCCCGGCCCGGGCTGTGGGTGCAGCGGGCTCTGCACAGGCCTGCGCAGGTGTCCCGGCCTCCCCTTGGGCTGTTTCAGATACAGCAGCTCAGCCTCGCACCCTCTGTACCAGCCTGCTGCCAGTCTTGGAGTTCCTAACAACTGCTTTTCTCTCATCTTTGCAGCTGCAGGAGCCTTCTCCATCCCCCACGTTACCATGGCCACCCACTTCTCCAAGGATCAGGAGGAGAGAGTGCGTAGCAAATGGGTTACTGGGATATTGCTGTGACACGTGTCTCCCTGCAATTACAGCCCCAACAGCAGGGCACTGGCTGCATCCTGCAGCTTTGGGGAGCAAAGTGGCTGCCAGTGCAGAATTTCACGTGCTTTTGTACTTCTGTCAGTGGTGCAGGTGCTGCACAACAGCACAGAGCTCCCCTGGGTGCCCAAACAGCCGGCACTGACACACTGGTGGTGCGGGGGGTGTGCACTGATCCAGCTGTGCTCTGTCACATAATTCTCCTTTAGAGCTTTGATCCTGTAAAATTACCTGCTGGGCTGGCACATGGTGCTCATAAGTGATCTTGTAGTAATGATAGTTAGTTACCTGCGTAGTGGCTTGTAATTACATGTATAGGGTTTGTCCCTCTGTAGATTGGGGTTTGTAATTCTGTGTATGGGGTTTGTCACTCTGTATCTGGGGTTTAAAATGCTCTGTGTGGGGTTTGTGATCCATGCCAGCTCCTCTGTCTGTGGAGCGCGTCTCAAAGCCTCGTGGTTCAGGCTGGGCACGTTCCCTGTGCCCACTGTGCTCTGTCTCCTCTCTCTGCTGGCCGTGGGGGTGCCCAGCTGCGGGAGGTGAAGGGGGACCTGTTCTCGTGCCCGCCGTCGGACGCGCTGGCGCACTGCATCAGCGAGGACTGCCGCATGGGCGCCGGCATCGCCGTGCTCTTCAAGAAGAAGTTCGGGGGCGTCCAGGAGCTGCTGGATCAGCGTGAGTGCTCCCTGCAGGAGCTGCAGGGAGGGATGGTGCTCCAGGCTGCTCGGGGCTCGTGGAGTGGATGTGGGTGTTTTAAAAATACCTTGGTTTCTGCTCACAGAGAAGAAGACGGGGGAGGTGGCTGTTCTGCAGAGAGATGACAGATACATTTACTACCTGGTAAGAGTTGGGATGTCACTAGGGTGCCTCCCTCTAGGTAAACTGTAGTATCCAATATTGTGAAGTCTTTAATATCTGTGGGGTTTTTGGTCATGTTCATGGAATCACGGAATCCTGGAATGGTTTGGGTTGGAAAGGACCTCAAAGTTCATCCAGTCCCACCCCCTGCCATGGGAGGGACATCTTCCCCTATCCCAGGTTGCTCCAAGCCCCATCCAACCTGGCCTTGAGCACTTGCAGGGATGGGGCAGCCACAACTTTCCTAAAACCTGTGGATTTTTTTCCTATGTCGCATCTAACCCTGCCCTCTGTCAGTGTGAAGCTATTCCCCCTTGTCCTGTCACTCCAGGCCCTCGTAAAAAAATCTGGGAGTGTCATGGAATACGTTTTATGACAGGCAGTGGTTTGTAGTGGTCGTGCCAAAGGCACAGCTGACCTTTTCCATTGTGGCACAGATCACAAAGCAGAAGGTTTCCCACAAACCCACGTACGAGACCATGCGGAGGAGTTTGGAAGCCATGAAAGATCACTGCCTGCACAACGGAGTCACGGACATCTCCATGCCCAGGTGAGGGAACAGCCACTGGGATGTCACTGCTTGGGTGTCTCATGCCTAGAAGGATGTTTGAGGGATGAGCCCCTGCTGTGAAAGAAGAATTTGAGTATCCACCTCCATCCAACTCCTCTGTTCAACTGGGCAAATGACATTTGCATTTCCCAGTGCGCTTCAGTAACAGCAAAACAAATTCGAGTTGCTTCCTTATCCTCAGTGTGTTCTGCTGGTTAATGGGGAGCTGAGCCAGGGCCACTCCAAACTGCAGCTGCTCCAAGGGCTGGTTGGGCGCAGCATGGGGCCATTCCAGCTCTTTGGGTGTCTTATCTTCCAGGATTGGATGTGGACTTGATGGCCTGGAGTGGGATAAAGTTTCAGCAATCCTTGGGGAAGTGTTTGAGAACACTGACATCAAGATCACGGTTTACAGCCTGTGAGCAGAAGAGTCAAAGAGCCCCTTTCCCCCAGTTTCGGGAGTGGAACCTGTGGACTGCCAAGGGGGACCCACCTGGGGAGCACGTTCTGTGTCCGGGGTCACTCACTCGTGTGACAGTGGCAGAGGCTCCCAGCAGCAACAAGCTCCAGAGCAGTTCATTTGGGTGTTAATTAGAAGGCAGCTGCGGTGCTGTGGAAATGCTCGGGGTGTTCCCAGCCTGTCCCAGCAGCCACCAGGTGTCACTGGGGCTCCACGCGGCTCCTGGGGAGCAGGACAGCCGCTGCCGCTGGGGGACTGGTTGTGTTTCTGGTTCGGTTGATGAGCTGCCACAGGGAGCCCTGTCACTGCTGCTCAGGTTTTGCAATGTCCTACCTGGCACTCGTTCACTTCACCTGCGGTACAGGTGTTACAGTTTAATTTCTCCCTTCTAGCCACAAATAGGCTTTGGTGATTTTGTGTTCACTAAGGATAATGCTGTGATGTTAAATAAATAGTGCCCTGCTGTTGCATCAGCGCTCATCCCTGTGGCTGTTCTGGGGGAGAGCTGGGATTGGAGGGAAAGCTGGAAGTGTGTAACTACACCTTGGGGGTGTGTTTTCTACAGTATCTGTACAATTTGTAGTCTGCAGAGGTGCGTTTCCCAAGAATCCGAACGTGGGAATGACTTGTGCCCTGAAAAACTCCCAGTGTGCAGTTTGAAGTTGGATTTTCACGTTCCTTTGTTCACTGCATTTGTAGTTCAGGTGTTACATGTAGGCTGGAGTTGGTCACCCATGGCAGAAGTAAATCAATAACACACCTGGTTCATCAGATGGTTGGAAAACACCTGATTTTGGAAAGTTCAGTTCTGGAACTGAGCAACTCCCCACAGACTCCCCATTTCCTTCATGTTTGGTTTCCCACCCTCCCACAATAAGAAATCTGGGAGCCTTGCTTGGGCTGGGCCTTGTTCTACATGGAAAATGATCCTGGTCTCCAGTGCTTGTGTGTACTCTGGAAATTCTTTTGGCATATGGTTCTCCCTTCTCAGCTACGAGATATTCCTTTTGTGGCTGTCCTGGGATGTCCTGTCCCACTTGTCAGGTTCAATTTAGGACCTCTTGCAAGTAGAGAAGAAGGAATAAACAGTGCTTTGGCTTTTGCAGTGACTTCCCATTTTATTTCACTTTGCTTTTCCCAGTTTTATATCCCAATTATCATTGCACAAGGGGAGAAGGTGTTTGATGTGTTTGAAATCAAGTTCTTGGGCTCCATCGCAATTTAAAGCAGAGCTGTTGGCCCTGAATTAAATCACAGCTCTGCTGGGAAAAACAGAGGGAGAAAACCTCTTTTTCACCTTCAATCTCTTTCTTTTCCCCATTTATGAAGTACAGACTTTCTAACGTATTTATCTAACAGCATCTTTGTTCTAAGATCTTTTCCCATGGAGTATTCCCAGAATGTGATCCCACAGCGTGTCCTGTGGGTCACTGCCATCCCTTTCACCACAGCGTGGGTTTGGTTGGGGCAGGGAGGGGGAGGAACAAAATACACCCAAAAAAATCCCAGACACCAAAGGTCTGTGTTGTCAGTTGTGTTCGTAGTCCCACAGGGCTTTGTCTTCCAGAAGCTGGTTCTCCATCCTGCTGGAATCAAAGCTTTGGGAAGTGGAGTGCCCCAGGTGTCCGGGTCTGTCACTTCTCTTCATAGATCTCTGAACAGGTCCTGGATGAAGAGACACATATTAGAAGTTTTAAGTGCTTTGTGTTTCGTGGCTTAAATAGGTGACTCTTTAGTAGCCCATCAAAAACCCCAGGGAATTTTGCAATTACAGTTGTGATTTCCTTTAATGGTGTTTTTTTAGGGGGTTAGACTCCATGGGGTGAGGAAAATCCCCTTTTCTCTACGTTCCTCTCCCTGTTTCCACCTGTGTCCTCAATATCATCCATGTGGGAAAACCAGGTGTTCTGGTGGCACCTTGTGACTCAAATACCTTTTCATTCTTTATTCCTGGAGGTGTTTGCTCGGAGAAGAAAAAAGAAAAGCACTAAATAGTCCTTAGGAATGTGCTGGGGGGAGCTCCTGCCATGTTCCTGCCCTGGAAGGGGAAAGTTACTGCCAGGGATTATTCTCAATGTTCAGGTAACCCCAGCCTGGTACATCTGAGTGACTGAAACTGGCTCTGGGTTGTGACTTAACAGCCTGAACTAAACACAGGAGACGAGTGGCCAGGTGGGAATCCTCACTCACGTGAGCCTCAGTGCAGGATCTCAGCCAGCTTCTCCTCGTAGTACTGGAAGTTCTCCTGAATGTCCTCCCAGGGCACGAACGACTTCGCTTCCTCCCCTTCCTCCTGCTCCACAAAGTTCTGCCACACATACTCAAAGTCTTGAGGCTTCATAATCCTCAGCTTGCAGCCGGCCGCCTTCAGGCTGCGGAGAGCCGCCTGCACGTCGGGCTGGTCCCACATGAAGAGCCGGCCCACCATGATGGTGAGGTGCAGGGCCTTGTTCCTGCGCAGCGTGTCGGCGATGCGCTCGGCGCAGCCCACGCAGGGGCTGGACGACACGTACCAGGTGACGGTGCAGCGCGCGCCGGGCTCGCAGCGGGGCAGGATGGTGTTCAGAAAGGCCATCTCGGCGTGGGCCGCCGCGTGCTCGTCCTCCAGGTAACCCCGGCTCGTCGCCGGCTCCTTGCCCTGCGTCTCCATCACGTAGCACAGGAAGGTTTTGTTCCTGCCGGAGCTGTATTCCACGTTCCGGAACTGGAACTTGAAAAAGATGGCTGGGAGGCGTTCCCTGGGGAGAGGGCAGAGCAGAGCAGTGTCTCAGGGGCAGGTTTAGGGCAGGGTCGGAGCACTGGGTCAGTTCTGGGGGGACCGTGGACAGGTCACTGCATCTCCCTGTACTTGCCTGCGTATTAAAAGGTTTATGTTGTGACTTTGGTTTACTAAAATAGCCAAGATCAAACCCGACCTTGCCATGAGAAGGTGTGTTTCCTGCTTTGTGTCCTGGACAATGAGTGGTCCTTTGGTTGCCGATTCTTTAATTAGTGATTGAAGGCCAGCTATGGTGACTGACATAAGCCACCCGTTGCCTCGCTCCACAGCACAGTCTGTAAGGCCACAATAAGTTGTTTTACTGTAACATCATGTGTTTAAATACCTCAGTCACATGGAGCTTCATGCCTGATTTAACTCTGTGACAGCAAAGGGGTTACAGCACTGAGGGGGTTGGGCCTGGGGTTTGATGAGCAGTTGAAGCAGCAGCGACTGCTCTGGGATGGATTGTCTTGGAGATGGATTTAGTCAGCCCTTCCAGATGGATTTTATTGCTTATCTCAGCGTGTGTCTGAGATTATCTGGGATGTTCACCTCAATCTGTGCTCCCAGCAGCATGGAATGTACATCACTCCAATAAATAACTTTGCAATAGAGAACATAAACAACACTAAGGCAGCCCCTTCCAATGCCTGACAACCCTTTCCCTGAAGAAATTCCTCCTGAAGTCCAACCTGAGCCTCCCCTGGCACATCTCGAGGCCGTTCCCTCTCCTCCTGTCCCTGTTCCCTGGGAGCAGAGCCCGAGCCCCTCGGCTCCTTCCTCCTGTCAGGGAGTTGTAAAGACCAAAAATGTCTATGGAAAGTTTCTTTTAGAAATTGTTTGCAGGCACTGAACTCCCACAATACTCTTAATATGAATCACCTGCTGTGACACAACTCACCTGAGGGGATGGGAAGGTAGAAGTTGAAATCTTCATTCTCCAACTGCTCTGAAAAGCATCATTAAATGGTGATTTTTAGGGATTTCTGAATGCTAAAACCTAATTTATTAAAGTTTTCCCTGACTAGCAGTGTTTTGTCACCTGTTAGATCATATTGAGACAAAAAAATTGAAACTTTGAGGCAGAGTCCGTGGGAATCTCAGTGGCCTGGCCAAATAATTGGATTTAAATTGCTGAAATCAGGTGGGCTGAGGGAAAGAGCAGCTGCCCAACGTGATCCTGGCACTGTGTGTTGGGCACGAGAGGAGAAGGAGAACTTCTAATGAGGGGATTGAAATGGGGATTTTCTCAACGGTGCTGTAAATGAGTAACAAGAGCCAGGGGCTTATCTATCACTGCTGCAAGGAGCCTCATTTACACCTGGGGAAAGTGTAAATAATGTGTCAAACGTCAGGAAATGCTCCCAGGTTGGGATTACATCAACCAGGTCTGGGTTCAGCCAAATACCAACAAAAAAAATGGGTTAATATTCTTAAAGTGAGTAATTGGCTTCCAGTGCTTCCCTGTAAGCCGGGCTCCTCCGAGCTGGGAGAGCAGCCTGAGAACTTGGCTGTGAGTCAGGAGATGCCCCTAATCCCAGGGCTAAAGCTGAAATGCAGTGTAATTGGGTTTAAGTGCTTCCATGGCTGCAGTTGTGTGTTTCCTCATCAGTCACATAACTGCCTTGATTGGCTGAAAATTTGTAAATCATCAGAAAAACCCACGTACAGATCGCAGGTCAAGGCCTGTTCTGAACTCTCAGTGTCCCTAAAATGAAAGTAAAAATCTCTGGGGTTTCTGTACCTCTTTCAGCGATTTCTGCTTCACTTCCTCACTCTCACCTTTCCAGGGCAGAAAATCCTGTCAAATCCTCTAACACTAGTGGCATTTCAACGAATAATTTAATTGCAAGATGATGCTGAGAAGTGTTTTTCAGCCGTGATTAGCACAGAGCCTTGGGGTTAGCAAGGAAGTGGCATTTCTAGTTGTAAGTTGGGTGCTCTAAGGCTGAAAAATCCAATGTCCTCGGTGACGTTCATCTTAGTACCTGTTTTAAGTGTTCAGAAGTTGGTCCAGTGGCTTGTATCCACAATTTTGGTGCCTTAGCCCCATTCCTAGCAGAGGGATGTGCTTTTGTTAAAAGCCACAGCTTTGCAGACATTGCTATTTCTATGACTGTGTGTGACAGAGATCACCCAGGCTCGCTGCTGCTCCGCTGTACTGAAAACTGCCTCTTGTTGGAGCCTTTCTGCAGGCTGGGCTCTTCATGGCAGTCAGGCTCCAGCTGTGGCTGTGGAGCCCTGGAAGCTCTGGACCTTCAGGTCTCTTGAAATATTTGTCCCTCAGGCCCATCAAGCAAATCAGCCATAGCAGGGGTGTTTTTCCTAATCCACAGGTAGAGAAACTCTCAGACAAGAGCCATTGATCACAGCTAGAAATCAATATTCAGCTCCCACCAAGGCCAATCCCTCCATCCTAATACCATCAGCCAGCAATCGCAGGACTGCCTGCCCTGGGAGGGAACCAGCACTGCAGAAACAGCCCTGTTGATATAAAACCAGTGGGTTTGTGTGCCTGCCTGCTGTGAATCCACCTTTCACAGCTCAGCAGAACTTTCAAGAGAATTCCCCAGCAAATTTTAACCGTGTTCAGAAATGTGCTGGCAGAAGATGCTGCTTTAATTGCCCACCGTAAGAGCTGAGGCAGAGCCCTTTGAACATCCCCCTTCACTCCAGCCCCGTATTTAAATCCCAGTCTCCTACCCTGTCACGATTTCAAACGGTGGAAGATCTTCCCTCTTCAGCTTCTTCTTCTTGCCCTCGCCCTCCTCGGCGTTGTCGGGTTCCCCATTCTGGGCGTTGCTGGGCTCCTCCTGCTTCTCTGCCATCTTCTGCAGTACAGTGGGCTTGACCTGTGGCCACTGGGAGAGAGAAAGAGCAACTTCTGAGAGCTCTGGGAGCGCAGAGAGGAGGGAAAACAGAGCTGGGAGTTCCTGCCCCAGGCACAGTTGTCAGGAACTAAATATGGAACAAAGCAGCAGCGACAGAGGCTGGTTGGGGTAGGGTGACCCAGGACTCTCGGGTGTCACCTCCTTCCCTTGCTTTCCCGAGCTCCTTTCAACAATCCCTCCTGCTCCCCTTTTAATTTCAAATTAAGTGACAACTTTGCTGTGGGCGGGATAAGCAGTGGGTGGAAAATCCTGGAAGCACAAGTGTGTATTTATCCGTTCCTGTGACAGACACCTGGCACAGGGACACCTGGAGCTTCTCCATCTCCTTCCTCTGCCAGCTGATCCTCTTGCTGACCTTGAAGGACCACTGGTTTGGCTCAGGCATGAGGGGAGAGGCTCGTAGCCATTTGGTTTGCTGAAAAATGCCTGGTTTTGGTGGATTTGGCCACATGGGCCACTGGGCAAAGGAGTGGGAAGTGTGTGGCTGTGCAGGAGTCAGGCTGGAACCAAAGCACACTGGGAATCAACTCTTCAGTGTTGTGGGCTCTGCACTTAGCTCAGAACCCACCACCATCACGATCTGGATTCATATGAAATATGCAGCTGTATTTGACTGAGTATTCAGTCAGTACTCAGTGGAAATGCCACTCTTAGTTTGGGGAGGATAAACTGTATTCCACAGAGATCAAATAGGTGGGAATACCTGCCTTGGGGCCAAAGTCAGCCTTTGTGATCCTGTTATAGTGAGCTTTTTAGAGGCTTTGGAGAAGCCTGCACTATCACAAAGTGGAATAAATTTATGCAATTGGGCAGATCACTTATTATCATAGGAAATTAATAATACATTATAATAGATAATTTATAATAGATAATAAATCATTACAATAGACAATTCTGCTACCTTTTCCAGCCCCCTTGCTATCAGCCTGTCATTCTGTGCTGAATATCCTTTGGAGCTTTTCCTCAATGACATCATTCCTGCAGGTTTTGGGATGACTTTTCCCTCTGTTTGCTGGTGATGAGGGTTGTTTATGTGGTGACTGGCAGAGCACGGGGAGTTCTGTGACAACAGCTCGATTTGATGAGTTCCAAGGATTTGACAAGTTCCAAGACATCCTATTCATGGAACATATATCTTTCATGGTGCAGAGTTTTATTTATTTTCAAGCTTAAAATACTTTCCTGGAGGGCAGGTGAAGTGCTCTGCCTCCTGCGTGGTGACTATGCTCAAATTCCAGCTCCCCTGTCCCGTTACTGTCACCTCTGACATTTCAGGCGGTGCCTTTGGGAGGGGAATCCTCTCTCAGTGAGTGACAGCTTGTTTCCTTCTAACCCTTCTGGTCTAAAGCAGCATTCCAGCCCCTCTTTGGCCCCTCTGACCCACTTTGCTTTATTTTTGGAAGCTCTTGATGGCTGGGGTCCCATCTTTCCTGCAGCCTTTAGCTTCCACCAGCCCAGCCCCTGCACAGGGTCCGGGGCTGAGCTCTAATCTAATCTGGGGAATGTGGCACCGAGACTCTCCCTCTCTGCAGCCTTTCCCAGCTGCTTCCCAGCTCCTTGTAGGGCAGTGCCTGGAACAGCCACGATCCCCCCCTGCAGCGTCTGCCGGCGCCAAAATTATGAAAGGGCAGCGCGGAGCTGCTGTCAATCCGGCAGTGCAGGGTGGCATGAGGGGCTTTGGTCACTTCTGCTGGGTGTTTCTGAGTGACCCCAGCTCCCCCGACGTGTGCATGTGTGTCCAGGGCTGTGGGAGCTCAGGATTAGTGGCTGAGGCAGCCAGGGAAGGTTTTTTCCATCAGCTTGTTCTGATTCAGACCCAGGGCATGGAGTGCCAGGAGAGGCCCGGGAGGGGCTCCCAGCACACTCAGGTTACCCCAAATCAAGCTCTTGCCAGCAACATTTTTGACAAGGTTTCCCTCCACCTGCCTCACTCCCCAGTGATTCAATATTTTATTTTGTTGGCTCTGAATTTGTTCACAGAATCCCAGAATCACTGAGGATGGAGAATCCCTCCAGGATTGAGTCCCCCCTGTGCCCCATCCCCACCTTGTCCCTCAGCCCAGGGCAGTGGGTGCCACGTCCAGGCCTTCCTTGGACACCTCCAGTCAGGGATTGCAGAGCCAAAAGGTGTCCCCTGAGCCTCCTTTTCTCCAGGCTGAGCCCCCTCACGGCAGGAGTTCCGAAGTTAACCTGGTTGTTCCCTGTCCTGAGCACACAGACCTGCCTGGCAAAGGCTTTGCCAGGAAAAGGTGGCTTTTGTGGCACTCTCAGGCTGGTGGAACATTTTTGGATAGATGGGAGAGTGAAACCAGAGCCGGGGTGTGTGAGTCATGGCTCAGCCGTGCTCTCTATTCCGAGGGGACAGCTGGTGGCACTAACAAAACGTCTCCTGGAGACATTGTCTGGCAGCAGTCCCCCTCCTGCTTTTTCCAGCTGTAACTACCGCTACGTGATAAATAAATAAACACTGACAGTGATGTGCAGGGGCAGCTTTCCCTCCTTCCTTCCTGCCTTCCTGGAAGGAAGCCCCTGGGGGCTCTCACCTGGGGGCTCTCCCTCTCCTCCCGCTGCAGGACCACCAAGCCAAGGTTTAACGAAGGGGCTGGAAACACTCGTGTCCCACGGGTTTGACCCAAGGGCTGGTGGAAGGTGCTACACTGGGCTGAGGAGAGTCCTGGGGCAGGGCCAGGTGGTGCTCTCAGCTCTGTACCTGCCTTATCTTCCCAGCCAAACCCGGGCTCTCCATCCTCAGCCCTCACACCCCCCTGTGACACGAGGAGCCTTGGCAGGCGCTGCTGCCTCCCCAATTAATTCAAAGGCCAACTGGGAGTTAATGACAGGTCCCAGCAGCAGAGCCTCCTCCCTGCCGGGCTGCAGGCTCCTGGGAGCAGCTCGGGGCAGGTCAGCGCCAGCCCTGCGGGTGCTCAGAGCACAGGAATTTATGTCCTGCAGCACCCGAGGAGGGAGGGCCAAGGGAGGGCACTGCTTCACCTGCACACGGCAGCAAACCCTCACTGGCATCGACTGGATGTTTTAACACGGCTCCAGACATCAGCAAATCAATTAAAGTCCCATCCTGCTGCAGCCAGAGTGTTTTCTGGAACAGCTGGTGAATTATTGAATGAGACAGGGCTTGGGAAATGAGGCTGGGCTGAGAGGCAGAAAGGTGTTGTTTATGCACAGTCTTTGGATGCAGCAGCCAAGGAGGTGATCACTGAGATCAGCTGTAACCCTCAGTGGCTGAAGTTTGATGGGAGGCTCAAGTTTGGCTGAAGTTTGTGGGGAGGGTCTGAAGTGGCTGGAGGTTGACGGGAGGGTCATCACCAGACAAGGTGACCTGAGAGGTGGCTCTTGGCTCCAGATTCCGTGACCCCAGGAGAGCTGTCCTTTGTCCTGTGACCTCTGTGACCTTTGTCTGACCCACCTGGGAGTCACAGAGACCCCGACACGTTCCTGTGGGAATGTCGTGTCCATTCCATCAGCTAATCTGAGGGGCCTTGGACAGGGCTTGGAGCAACCTGCTCTGGTGGAAGGTGTCCCTGCCCACAGCAGGGGGTGGCCCTGGATGGCCTTCAAGGCCCCTTCCAGCCCAAAGCATTCCATGATCCTGTGGCAGCAGGGCCCCTCAAGGCCCTCCAGGGCAGGGGCTGGGTTGTGTCTGCACTGCACAATCTGTGTAAGAAATTCTCCAGGTGACTTTGAAATCTCATTAACGTGTGTTTATGCAAAGGGGTTTAGAGTATCTGTTTAAACAGCAAACACACCAAACGATGCTCTAAGTATTAACACGAGAGGGCGTTTCACTGAATTTAATTTTGCCAATTGATTTCAAGCTCTTCTGGATATCACGTGGAGGAGCATTTGCTATTTTTGCTGCCTGCAAGAAAAGGCAAGAGGCAAAGAGAGGCTCCTGCTGCACTTACAGGTGGGATGGGAGGAGGAACTGGAATGAAAACAAGAATAAGTCAGCCAGTCCCAGCAGCTGGGAAAATGGGGAGGAGAAACATGGGAAAAATCCATTAATCTTAGTTCCAGTTTTCCGTTACCTGCAGAAAAACATGGGAAGAAGGGGAACTAGGATTAATTTATGAAAGCTGATCAAATACGAGTCCAAGTGGAAATGTTATTAAAATGTTGCAGGTCTGAGCCAGATCTAGAGTCACCAATTTAAATGTGATTTAAATAATTCTCTTCCCTTTCCCAAAGCAGATAAAGGCTGGTTTAATCCCTCCCGGCCTCACTAGATGGCCCTGCTCATCCCTGTTCCTCTGGCTGTGCTGTGTTCCCTGGGAAGGGACGGGCAGAGCGCCCTTAAATCAGCCTTAACTCCAGGAATGGAACCTGCAGCCAGACACCAGCTCCCTCTGGGGGAGAAATCACCTCTGTTTGCCTGTCCTTTGCCATGGGACTCTCTGCAAGACACAGATGCTGTAAATAAGCCCTGAAATGCATAGGATTTCTTTTTTCTTTCCTTTTTCTTCAGTAGCTTTTGATCTCCCCAGTCCTGCTGGCACCGCTTGTGCTTTAGGGTCCTGCCCCTGCTCACACCCTCAGCTGGGCCATGGCCTGTTCTCGGGCAGCTTTTACTGGGGAGATCACAGCCTTGTGCTCGCAGCAGCCCTAGGTAAAGGCAGGAAGGGAAAACTAATGAATGGGATCAAAATAACAGCACTGCATTTATTTATTCTCCAAAAAGTAGTGGCTTGGTTTTATTAAAAGCAAATACAATTTATGTTACAGCCCCAGCTAAGCCCTTCCACCCCCCACCCTGCAGGTCCCCCCACGCACCCCAATCTACAGGCAGCTGCCAGGAAGATCCTCGTGCCCCTTCTCTTCACACATGGTGCTTTTAGCAATCAAAAATAGTAGTAAATACTCTCTGCAGATAACAAGAACTCAGGTTCAGGTCTGTCAAGGGCCAGGATGAGGGATGGACA